AGATAAGCTGAAGACAACAGCCCTGGGTACTACATCCAAAGAAAGTACTGGCCATCAGCATGAAGATGGCCAGGTGTCAGTTGTCCACAGGTTGTTTAGTGCATTTAGAGCACTACAGCACTTAGCTGTCACTGGAACCATCAGGGCAGACAGCTTGTCTGAGACAGTACTACCCAAGCCTCTTAGCTCAAATCAAGTCAGATCAGGTTGCTCAGGATTATGTCCAACTGTGTTAATCAAAGTCTTCAAAGATGGGGAGCCTATAACTTCTTCTGGCCATCTGTTATAGTGTTGAAAATAAGTATTTCTTATCTTTCTATCATCCTCTAGTGCAGGATGGATGGTTTCTTAGTAGCAGCCTGTCATTTGGGTGATGGTCTGTCCACTGGGTAAGGATGAGATCAGTAACAGGTACCTTTGGTATGCAGGTCAGCTGGTGTGGAGTGCCAGACTGTCTGGGTCACTCAAAGGTTGCAGACTGAACGTGATCCTGAGAGTCTAGGGAAGGTCAGAGATGTGTGACAATCACAGGCAGCTGATTGCTTTTGAATTACAAAGAGCCATCTGTGATCAAAAGAGTTCTGGATACACCAAGTTGATGGCACGTCCTTCCCAGAACCAGAAGGTTAAAAGCACAAGAGCTGAGGGAATAATCATCAAGCAGCATAGCACAACCTTTCAGATTTATGTATTGAATTTCTTCACTTTTCCAATAATCAAGTAACAATCCATTATTTCTTGACCTATCCAGGCTTACAGAAAATAAACTCATCATACTTTCAAATGAAAGTTTCACAAGTCTCTTTTCTGTCTTTAGAGAAACTGCTAATTTGTGTCTGAGTAAAAACCGCTAGCAAGGAACAGAGGCTCGCAAACAACCTTCTTCTAAGGAAGTCTCATTTAAGAATGCATTCAATTAAAAAACAAACTTTGAAGTAAAGCAGATTAGGAGCCATTTGTAGTATCTGCTTAACTCTTCTAACCAGACGAGTTCTGAGAGGTTTTCTTTACAGCAGTAACGTATCAAAGAGCCCAAGAAAACTGATACTGACTGCTACATTTTAAAGAAAGAGCCTAGTTCCACCACACATACAAAACAGCAGGATTTGCTCCCCTATTCAGTTCATTTCTGTTCCTTCAGCAGAAACTTGCACAAACGGCTCCCTGTGCCAGACAGGGCCACACTAGCTGAACACATCTTTGGATCACAGTACTGTTGCTATCTACCAAATGCTTAGATTTAAAAAGCATCACATACACAGCACATGCTCTGTCAGAAACCAGCAAAAAGCAGTTTTCCTTTAAGCCACGATGATTAGGGACCTGGAGCATTTCCCCTGTGAGGAAAGGCTGAGAGACCTGGGACTGTTCAGCCTGGAGGTGCCTGAGAGGGGATCTTATAACTGTTTATAAATATCTAAAGCATGGAAGTCAAGTCAGTGGAAGCACTCTTTTCACTGACGAGAAGCAATAAAACAAGGGGCAATGGGCAAAAACTGGAACATGGGAAGTTCCATACTAACACAAGGAAGAAGTTTTTTACTGTGAGAGAGTGATGGAGCACTGGAACAGGCTGCCCAGATAAGTTGTGGAGTCTCCTCCTTTGGAAATATTCAAGACCATCTAGGCATCTGCCCATGCATCTGACTGTAGAGTGGAGGTCTACTTTAAGAGGGAAGTTGGACTCTACAATATCAAGAGGTCCCCTCCAACATCTACAATTATGTGATTCCAACATTAAAAAAAAAAAACACCACTACCACGAAACAGCTTAGTTACAAAGGTGTCCTTTAAGAAGCTTGTCTTTGGTTTAAGACTCCCTTTACTGCACTTGGCCCAGAGACACATGACAGAAGGGCATGCAGTACTGCACTAAGGCAACTGTACTCTTTTCACTTTCGATCTTGATATCCAAGAACTTCCCTTTGTCTGCAAGATATTAAATACCAGGATAAATGAACTCCAGCATGCTTTGCTCATCAAGAGCTTTCTTTTCTAGTTGAGAATGTACCAAGTTTCCCATCCTTATGGAAAAAGGACAAGAATAAAACTGACATCTTTGATCCACAAGAATCATCAGTTGTCAAAAAGGGGAAATCAAAGTAAACAGCTGCTTTATGCCAAACTCAAAATTGCTGCTGCTCTTTGTTATCCTCTTTGCAGGAAAGCTGACAAACTGAGAAAACAGGCCCAAGATGCCAATGCTACCCGATATTATGCATTTCCAGTTGGTTTTCCCACAACACTGTGGTTTGGCTCTGGTGCAGCAGAGAAGCAGGAGAAATCTACTTGGCCGCCTGCTCATATCCATAGCATGCTGTATGTTTATATGTAAAGGGGAGCACTTCATGCCAACTTCCCCATGTAAGAGGGAAGGGAAAGGAAGAGATCAAAACTCACCAGTGCTGCAGATGCCTACTCTAAAAGCTGAACATCTGTAGTCTTCTCAAACTGTGCAAGACAATCATGGAGCATCTCTGCATCATCAAGGCAGCACTGACATGGTACCCTGCACTCCTGATTCCCTCCGCTGAGCTGAAACAGAGCAACACGAGCAGCTAAGAGATTAAGGCTCTTAGACAAGACGATTCACCCTCTAGTGGCTGGCACATGACCTTGCTTTTGCCTGAATGCATGCAAAACTGGGTAACCTTAGGGCAGGTGCGTTAAGCCCTGTACAAATGAGCACAGCAACACTTCTCAAACACATCAATGAAGACAGATGGTCAAGGACCACATGAAAGCCAGTACATAAGTACACGGTACAGAATCACTGCAGTGCTGTAAAACAGATCAGTCCCTAGCTCACAGTTGTTTGCCATGACACAGGAAATTAACAAATACATGGGAGAGAAGACATTTTTAACTGTTTTTATTAAATTAATACATAAATTACGTTCCTGTGTGCCATGTCTGATAACAAAGTTAGATGCATCTCATTGATGATAATTCCAAACAAAAACATAGTGGAAAACAGATAAATCTTGTGATTTCATAAAAATTTAAGACTTCAAATTAGAAAAAATATGAATCTGCTAGACAAGCTAAAGCAAACAAAGTTTTTACTGCCTACATTATTTCAGGTTTCCGCAGTTGCTCTCAGGAAAAGCTCGACAATGTTGACATCATTGTGGTTTGGCCATACAAAAGGGATTTGGATCCATGAGGTCCATCTGTACCAGCATTCCTGTGGATGACGGGCATTCTTTGAAGTGACTTTATTGCATCTTCATTTATACTGCTTTGCATAGTCAAGAGCAAGCAAACCACACTGCTTTGAGTGACCAGACAGAAAACTTGTTCCAGCTGCTATGATGAAAACTGGAATCCAAAAAGAGGGTCCCAAAACACACACTGTGTAGGTGACCATTCCTCTACAGCCCCTCTCCTGGCAACGCTGCATTGGTGCTCAGCATTAAGGTGAATCATGTACTAGATCTCTCCAGCTGGATTCTCAGAACCTGGAAAATCAAAGCAAAGAATTCTTTTTCAGCTTTGTCTGCACTACTTGGAAGGATTACACACACAGAAGCTCTCTGCACAGAAAAAAATGCTTAACACTTTCTCATTTTATTCAAGCACAACTAGAAAGTTCAAAAGTTAAAAAGAAATCCTTTGGACATCTACTTACCTGTTTTTTGGAAAACAGTGAAAAAGCTGAGATTTGCAGGTCTAAAAATATGTTCCTGAATTAAAATGAAATTTGTCCTTTAAAAACCCAAATCTGAAGTGCTTTGGGAACTGAAAAGTCCTGGAGTCTTATTATAATGCTTTTCTTCAAGGTGACTCACTGTCTAGGTATAATTACCAGCCAAAAAAAAAAAAAAAATTCTTACATTTGTCATGCATAATATAAAGGCAATATAATTCAAATTCAAGTTCTGCTTAAGGCACTGAAATGAGATTTCTCTGCTTCAAACCTATGGAACCACTTTGATACTTCTTATTCCCCTCCTAAAACTTAGGCCACCCAACTTTTATTTTTGGATCACACAGCATTCCATACGAAAAGCTTCCTAAAAAGGACATTTTAAATGCTGGGTCTTCACAACACACACAAGCACAGAACAACAGCCTCGGAACCTTCTCCTTCATACAAATCTTCTTTGAGAGTTCAAACACCCCACACCTCCAGTAAAGACAAACCATAGTTCACTGTGCTTGCAGGCACCTAAATCACAGGATGTGTAATAAAGCAATTCCATACACTTGATGGGTTGCAGCTCTGCTGTGCAGGGCTTAAAGCAAGCTGCAAAGATTCCTACTATTAACACTGATGATGTTAACTACCTGTACTGAATTTGGACAACACTTTAATTTTAAGAGTATAATCAGTGAGGGCCTCCTATCCCCAGATCTTTTAACTTTGAAGATGCCAAAAACTTTTAACTATGAAGATGCTTCTTTGCTCATCTTTTCTGACCTGGCTTGTCTGCCACACTGGATCAGCTTTGGTTGTTGGCAATGTGGCTAGTATTTCCTTTGCTGAGTTCTTCCTCTGCTGACCATCAGAAGCAAATGAGTAATTCCTGTATCTAGCAATTAAGATCACTCACTGTTGTTCATACTAGCAACCAGAATAAAACATTGGAAATACTCTGCAGATGCATTAAGGAAGGCATCTTCATCAAAAGTAGGCACGTTCCACTTCTAGGGTATAGAAAGTTTGAGAAACATCAGCTCCTGAAAATGAAGGTAGAGAGACTGTGAAATTCATGAGATCAGATGGGCTATCTATGGTCTAATCAATAAAACACAGGCATTAATTCCTGACAGGAAAAAGATCTTTACTTTGACTTATGACTCATTCTTTGTTCTGAAGTAGACATGTAGATAAGATATTTCCACCACAAATCGGTTTTTTTTTTTTTTTTTTTTTTTTTTTAACGTAACTGAAGACATACACATGAACTTTTCTATATTAATAAGACTTGAGGACACCATTCATGAGAATAAGCATGTTTTGGAGATTGTGAAGGTTTGTAACAACCATATGAACATTGCCAAAAACAAAAGAGCTTAGGACTTTATTAAAAACAATACAATCTGGAAAGTTTTAAAATGGAATTTCATTCAGTCAGATATTTAAGTAAAACAATAGACTAGTGTGAACACTAAGTACTTGATCTCAAGTCCAGAAATCACTTTCATGGCAAATGCTGTAGTAGGGGCTCTTCATAAGAAGCAGGAAGTGGACACATTCAAGGGCGGTGCATAGAAGCTGGCTTTTCTCAGCGATCCCTTTTTCAGGACAACACAGCAAAAAATACTTCTGAGTTCACTTAGGTAACTGTATGACATGATACTAGGAAATGAAATTTCTCTAAGCCATCTTCTGTTCATTATTAGCATAGACATGCTCCATGGAACAATGCAGGAAAAAAGCACAGCAGTCTTAAAGTCAGGGGTTCAATGGTAGCTGGTCTACAGACAGGCAGGGCCTTAGAAGCACACAGCAAATGGATGGGTCACATTTTAGTTGCAACTGTTTTTAAGATCCTGGTAAATGGATTTGTGGGCTCATGCTTGGCCCACAAAGTAGCAGCCATAAGATTTGGACACAGAGAAGAGGGTCTCTATCCTGCACAGAAACCAAAGTCTTTGCCCCTTTGACAGAGTACTTCCTGAACAAACTGCTGTGTCACATGATTGAGTTCATTCTTTTCCGGTTGTAAGCCAAACCAATTTCAAGTCCTAGACTACTCCAAGCCTGCCAGCACTTGATACATCATCATGTGCCAAGGCAGAAGCTGTTTAGAGGGTAACCACAGAGCAGAACGTGTTAGAGGAATAGCCCTTCACACAGCCCACAGAACTTAACCGCAGGTTTCAGATGCCGGTTTTGGAAGCAATCCAGTCTCGATAAAAAGTCACTCGCGTGTACACTCCTGGTTTATCTGCCTTGCCACATTCATCACCCCAGCTCACTATTCCCACGAGATACCAGATTCCTCTGGAGTTTGCCTTCACCAGTGGCCCACCAGAGTCACCCTAAGGAGAAAAACGTCAGCAGACGGGAACAAAAAGCAAACAACATTCACTTCACTAATGCAGGGAACATCATATTGTTATGTTACAACAGACTGAGACTTTTCTCTAGATCACAGCTATAAGTTTACTGAGAGGACAGAGGCTGACAGCCTGTATCTACTACAGTCTCTCCTATCCTAGACCATTACATCTGCATTCTCTCAAAAGCATGCTATAAAAAAACAAACAAACAAACAAACAAACAAAAAAAAACAATAAACATCTAAGTGCAGATCACAACCTAGAAGCAATGAAGCTCTTAATTTACATCTCTGAAGATCCTGAACCCCATAAACAAAAGACACCATGGGAGAATCTTATTATTATTTCTAGGAAAAGTCACTTTCCATCCCACCTATTTCTTCTTTCTTAAGATGAGACTTACCTGGCAAGCATCCACCCGTCCCTCTAAGTATCCAGCACACAACATCCCTGGTGTTATCATTCCAGCATACACTTGTGGTCTATTACAAACTGCAGTGCTAATAATTTTTACTTCTGCTTGTCGAAGCTGATTAACACTAGGGCCTAGAAGAAAAAGTGGCATTCTAAGATATGCGAGGATTAGGAGTAGTCAGGCTTTCCTAGAGCCTTCCTGCCATTGTCTGAAGAATGTCTAAATAAAGTTATTTTTGCCCAAAGTCTTTCACCCACTCATCCCAAACACAACTTCTTCCCATCTTTCACTCTCAATTTATGGTCTTTAACGTAACAGGCAAAGGGATTTTTGTACATTTCAACGTTCAATTCAGCGATTGGCTTTATTGTGTATCTTTGATGCCAACAGAAATACCCATTTGATTAACTGCAAAGCAAGTTAGACCATTACTGTACATTTCAAGAGTCCATCATGAACTACATCTTATAGCTCAAATTGCTCTCCTACTAACACAATTAGTCTCATCATCTCTAATCTCAATGACATTGGCCAATTTGAATCAAGCTCATTTGAGCCATTTGATGAACTGAAGCCTGAATTAGGATCAAAGAGATTAACTGACAAAAAATTATGACAGATCTGTGACAGACATAACTGAAAGTTTTGTCTTAGCTCAGGTCAGAGGACTAGGCCAGTGAGAATGGAGAACAGAATGCATTTGACCACTTTGATGCATGCACCAACAAAAAAGCTGCTCTTAATCCTATAAAAATATCCTGCAGGAGTTTTTCCCTAAATTCCAAGCCATTGATCAAAACAACTCCAACAAATTAAGTCCACCAGTGCAAAATAAATCAAAGTCATAAAATCAACAATAGTCCTGTTAGACATGTCTGAGGGGAAAGGAAGCCTCCACAGGGAGTGAAGAGAAACTCACCATCATTCCTCAAAGCTCCCCAACCTGTGACAAAACAGGAAGTATTATCTTTTAATATGTAAGATGCTTCAGGAAGACAGACACTGTGCACATCACTTGTGAACTCAATAGAGGAGGCAAGTTCCACAAGAGCTATATCATACTCATGATCAGGGACAAGGCTATTGTATTTTTCATGAATGATAATTCTTCGGACATATCTTCTCTGTTTTGGAGGCCTCAACAGAATTCCAAAACTGGCAGTCCATCTCCGAGGTTCTCTTCCTCTGAAAAACATTGGCAATTATGTCACAAACACACAAAAAAGATTTCCACAGAAACACAGCTTTCTGTTTAAGAAAAATACAACATGGTCAGCTTGGTCTACAGAACAGAGAAGAGCCAAACTTCATTGTCTTCCAGCAGATAAAGACATTAGCGGTTCATGAAAAGTCAGAGTAGATTTATCAGAGCACCCATAAGTTGTAGGGCTTACAAGATCAGAAAGGTGCTGATAACTTACGCTTTAAAGCAATGGGCTGCAGTCACTAGCCATGTATTACTGATCACTGAGGCACCACAGTAATGTGTCCCATCAAGCTGAATACTAGCTTGCCATGGCCACTCTCCATCCTGCGCACGTTGTCCATCTGTTATTCTTTCCACTCCTGAGAAGGAGAATCCCTCCTTTCGTATTCCACAGACTGTCCAAAAAACCCCAAAACAAACAAAACAAAGGCAGCTGTGTTAGCTGATTGAGGAAACCCAGGGTCTGCCTATTGGGGAGGCCCATATGGCTGCTGGCACAGGCACAACAGGGCAGAGCTGTCAAGAGACAGCCTCCATCTAAAGCAGTGCCTTCAAGAGCAGAGAAATTAGGTGCTGTGGTCACAAGGGTCTCAGGATAGATATGATATAAATGAACATTGGTAGAAATATTACTAGTTGTCAGATACACAAAGCAGTGAACTTCCATGGCAATGGAAGGCTGTATACCTGTAGAGAGAACAGCTTACCAGCTTAGGGCAGAGGCAGGAATGGATGCACATACAACGAAGAAAAGTTCTAAACTAGGGCTTTGCAGACAACAGATTGTCTTGCAGGAAAAAAGATCTGGCATGACCATTTTCAGAGAAAGCTGACTTTCCTCAGCGCTACATGTACAGAATGTTTGGAAGACACAACTTGGATAACATTTTAATGCTCTGATTTTTCAGTCTTGCTAGTTGTATTGGGTAACGGTCTCTCATCCAAAAAGATTTTCAGCTCACAACAGCTGCAGTCCTCATGCAAAGCTCACTGAGAGCAACTCATCTACTTACCATAGCCAAAACTAAAGGCAATCCAACTTGATGGTGGTGGGCTAAGTGTAAACACTGCAGAGCAAGCAAAACTCCAAAAAGAAGAAAAAAAAAAAAAAGCTAAAACTGTCTCTGGCTCATGAATTAGCTATTGTTCTAGTAGCTTAAAAAGTTATTTTTCAACTTGCATCTCAAGCTTAAAAATCTTATAAGCACTGTACTGATGGCACTAAGTCCCTTGATGATTTCTGTAAAACATTTGTACTTACAGTTGTTTATAAGGTTATCTCCATTCTCCTTATTCAATTCTGAAATGAAAAACAAAAAATACACTGAGGATATTTCACAACGCTATGTGAAATCCATATGAGATTTGAGACAAACTGCTTATATCCAGCAAGCAAATGAAATTACTTGTACTGCTGCTTGCAATAACAGTACGGTAAAAAGAGTACTTCGCTCTACTAAATAAGTTCTGTTATGCTTCTGGTTCCTCACTCAAAGTGGAAGGCTAAAGGATACATTTTTTTTGTTTAAAGCTAAAAAAAGAAAAGCAGTAGTTGACCAAATAGGCTCAAATAACATCTGCATGTGGTGGAACCTATGCGATACTAAAGCCTGTATGAATATGTTGACATTCATTATGGCAAGGTGGTCATAGATCCTCAGTACTGGGCTTGACTGGAGCTAAACTGTAATGTTATTGATTTCTTCCCTACAAAACAACCCACTGACAGATTCTGGTGGTAAACAATGACAGTCTTTTGTGAGAAGATTAGTGTACAAGGAATGTTTGGTTATTAATGCTTGCTACAACAATCTGGCAAATATGCAAAGGAAATGACAGATGATGGAGAAAGGAACCATCTCAGCCTTGCATTTTTTAAACAGCTTGAGGACTTCACATTTAAGAACCTAGTGACACAGATTCCTCTTCAATTCACTGTCTGCCTTAGCAAAGTAATCTGTGAACCTGGGTTACAAAGCCAGCCAGTAAGGCAATATGGCTTGCCCATACCCCAAGTCTGAAAAATGAAAAGGAAATAGAAATCACATATATTTGCGCAGTTAAGTGAAACTCATCACACTGAATGAGGAAAGTATGAAGAACAAATTCCAAGCTATAAACAAAAATCTAAGCCACTTGCCTGTGAGTTTAATGGTAGACTGGTCAACATTCAAGAACGTTGAGCTTATTTCAAGTCTTCTACGTAACACACTGTAGACATGACTCCAGCTTGTTGCCTCACTGTCAGCTGAGGCAAATTTAAATACCAGAGCAACAGATACAAGCACTCCACCAGGATCTGGGCTGCAAACCAACATAAACAAGGTGGCGTCATCTCTTGCCCACTAAGCCTCTGTGACCTGCTTTGTGATGTCTACCTTCCTTATATGGGAACAGGTCCAGTCTGCACTAATGTGCAGAATGAATATCATAGCTGTACACAAGCAAGGTAGGATGACGTATGTTAGCAGGCAGCAAAAGGCCTGGTTTATACTATAACAGTGATCAGAGAGAATCTTCTGGGAGGAGAGGAAGGATCACTCCCTTTAGAGTCTATGCAGCTTAGTCTAGACCTACAGAAATTAAAAAGGTCTTCTGATACTTCTTTACATTTAAGTTACTTGTCAGTTTATAAGAAAGTTCCTTTGGATCCAGAGAAAAAATCTCAATGATTTATGTTATCTGAACAAGGCATGATCACTTAATATCAGTATAAAATATGAAGCCCAATATTTTAGACAAACAGTTCAAAGGAAAACCAAAAGAACCCTAGAGGCAAAGACAGCAGAGATGCAGGTAAGCTGATTCAGTGCTCAGTTGCGTGAAATAAGGTGTCTCCAGTGAAAGTTTATAGCCAGCGCACTGTTCAGTCAGCCTAAAAAGTAAAGAGGTTGCTTGAAGTCTACTGAAAATTTATAATTTCAGTTAATACGAATGTATGGGAACTGCTGAATCACGGCCTGAACTTCTGATTGATCACCTGAGGCAAGCAGTGAGTCAGCCATGGGAGCACAGGTGAAGGCAATTCACCTGTGCTGCCGGAAGGGGTAGAGCCCAGCTCCACCTCTCCTAGAACCATTTAAGAGCTGACTAACAGTAGGAAAGGATTTCTTCTGAAGACCCCTCTCCCCTAGAGTTTTGCAGCGAGTCCAGAATGTAGGTAAGCTTTCTATCCTCTTTTTGTTATTATAATCTGCTCTGCCAAACTCTCATTTTTTTCATAATTATAACATCTTAGTATTCATTGACTGTACAACGGAGTATGCGAGGTTTACAGAAGAAACCAGCAGTGGAAAAAAATGTCAAGCAGCTTAAAGAAATAACCACATAGACACAGGTAAAAGCAAGAGAGAATTTCTATGTGATTCACTGCTGATAGGACAAGGAGGAACAGTTTTGAAAAAAATGAAGAGAGACTTAGAATAGACAACAAGAGGAAATTCTTTACACAGAGGGTGTTGAGGCAGTGGAGCTGTTGCCCAGTGAAGCTGTGCATGTCCCAGAGATGTTCAAAGGCCCCATCCGAGGTTGGATGGGACAATGGACAGCCTGCTCCAGTGGGCAGCAAATCTGGGAGTCTGGACTGAATGGTCTTTAAGGTACCTTCTAATCCAAGCCTTTCTATGATTGTAAGAGAGTCCCAAAGTGCTGTGGAAAAGCACATTTGCAGGAAGCATGGCATTCTTCACTGTCCAGGGAAAAATATTCCACAGCAGATTTGTGCCTTACAGAAATGTAATTACTCCAAACCCAAATCAAGTGACAGTTCTTACCACTGGCAGAAATACATGCATGGAGAAGGGAGACTTATAAAGTCTCACAGAACCTCCGTATCCATGTCTCAGACTTGCCTCCTTTCTTCTCTCTGCAGATACCTCACACTGGAATTTATTCCTTCATATCTTTACTAAGATGGGGGAGAACAGTCACCTCCTGCTATACACCATGCAGGGCAGTAAATACCAGCTTGAGTTTCTACAGAAAACATAACGTGGAATAAAGAGCTGACTGGATCACTCAAGCACTTAACTAGCAGCAAAAGCTGGGATCACCTCATTTTCATTCATTTACTGCATCACAGCCACAAAGAACTAGGGTTCAGGTAATCAATCTGCAGAAGTATATGGCCAATTTTCTCTTCCTTGCTGATCTCCAAAGTAGTGTAAGCCCTCAAAAACATTGAAAGTTCTGAAGGGAAGTGATAACAAGCCAAGACTTCAGATATCCAGCTAGTGTGATCCAAGCATAAGCAACCATGTACATTCCATGTGGTCAAGGGGTAGGAAGGAATTATATGAATCCCATTTCTGCTTTTTTCTGACCTTCACGTTACTTACCTTAGAGTGACAACATGGGATCTAATGTACTTGCTGCTCAGAAAGGACCCCTTAAATACTTTAGACATCTGTTAAAGGAAAAAACGTATATGAAAATACACCTGTAATACATGCATCCTCTCAAACTGGAACAGTCTTGTGAACCCCTAATATACAAAAACTGCCTTTGGAGCCCTATTTCTATATCAGAGCTACTGCTGAACTTCCATTGGAGATTGCAGAATTAAAATAAACAGTCGAGTTAGCAAATCTGTCATACTCTCCAGGCACCTTTCCAATTGCAGGGTTGCTGGAACAGACAGCACACATGCTTACTATCTGCTTGCACACAGCAAGGTCTCTTTACCACTACAGTAATATTTAAAAGACAGCGCTGACAAGTTTACAGTGGAGCAGAGAAGAACTGCTTGTATAATTCCTCCTTCCTGAGTGCAGAGGCAGCAACAAGGAATTTAACACTCCCTGTTGAAAGCTAGAGTCAGAAGATGACTGGGGAGGATATAAAGATGATTGGAAGATGACTAAGAAGGTTGTATAGAAGAATGAGTCAGATTCTTTTCAGTGGTGTCCAGTGGCAGGACAAGAGACAATGGGGATGAACTGTCTGATTTTACGATCTAGGGTGAATTTGTTCTGAGCCAAATTGCATAACAGCTCCCAGAAAGACATGCAGTCCCAACTTTCTGCTTTAAATAAGTTACCAGGACTGCTTTTGCTATTTTGTCCATATAAGCCTTTCTTACTGTACTTTGTGCATTTTAGAAGTAATTTGTCTCTTTCCTGTACCACCCTAGTTTTCTAGTGTCTTGGCTGAAAGGAAAAGAAAGCTATGCTAAGCAACAGTATGGCTGCCAGTACGCATGTGCAGGGCAAACAACCTCTTACAGCTCTAGTTTTATACCCTATATAGACCCAACTGGAACATTGCATCAGAGTTTGAACTGTTCCTCTGCTGGGCAGTTGAGCTTTTAGTTACTGATTTCCACAGTATAGTCCTTATTTAATAGGGGTGACCTGCAATTTTTGTGCCCAGATCTCTATGTACAATAAGTAATAGCACTGGAATTGCTAGGGCAGAATCCACGTCACCAGCCAGTGAAGAACATCCGTCACCAGTTGAATGCTATTCCTGCGCTGATACATCCACGACTGCTTCCAAATCCTCCTTGATTTGGTGTAAGGGTGTACAGGATCATTCACTGCTCTCTTTGCAAGTCCTGTGCAACTGTGGCAAAACCACTAAGCTCGTAATAGTAGTTAGGCATCTAAATCCTGATTATTTCTAAGAGAACTAAACATTTAATACTGATGAGCTCAGCCTTGATCACACTGTGCTGTTTTTCCCATCCACTCTAAGCAGCAAAACCACCACCAGGCTGCCTGTATAAGATTTGGAAAGATAGGTACCATAGAAAAATTGCAAGGCATGCAGACACCATGACATTGAGAGCCATATGCACGACAGACTTCCAATAGAGTTCTTTAACCCCAGCAATCTCCCCTATTTCCCAAGTGTTTAAAATTTAACACTGTCATTGACAGTTTCTCTGTTGGCAGTAGCAGACTGGATAGTCTAAATCACTAAACACAGGTGAATGGCAGAGCCAGAGAAGAGACTCCACTTACTCCAATGTTTAATTCTCCATCTTTTGCCCTTGGAATAGCCTGATATAGTCTACATAATCTAGGTACATGAGCATGAAGCACAATCACCCCTGACTTATTTCCAACCACATAATTGTAGGACTCTTCACCATAGGCCAGATAGAGACAGAGAAACAATTTAGTTTACCATGGTTTCAATCTCTTGGCTCAGGTATCTGAATTCCTCCGTCGTTTGCCTTCCATACTGACGGTCATATGGGACATTGGTGATAAGGAAAGTTGCATTGTAATATCGATCCTCATCTACATAAGAGAGGAAGAGGACAAGTTGCTTCATTCCTTCAGTATGAATCAGACACACATAGCTCTGTGCAGGACATGGCACAAGACTCCCAGACTCTGGTTGCAACACTATCAGCTGTGGCCAAACTCTGGACAGCACAGTGAGGCAAGGGGGATCCGGGACATCTTGCCACACCACACAGCTAAGGACTTACCTCCACCCTTATAACCATCCCAAGCAGCTCTAAATTACATCCACTACGGATCTTCTTTGAGGACCATCAGACTAGATGCCTTCTGGCATATTCCTGCCCCTCAGAGGCAGGTGGCCCTTGCAGAGCAGTTTCACATTCACTCAGCAGCTGGAGTTACGTTTAAAATCTGTCTCTTGGGTAAAGGCTGATGGCCCTTACAATAGTGAATTAGCAAAAAGCTATTTGCAAAAATAAGCTACAGCTCTGCCACTACATTGTCTAGTATCCTATGATTATCCATGGCCTTGCTGAATCTTGGTGAGCAAAGACAGGAACACAACTAGCTCTGTCACAGCAGGAGTTAATTTTAAAACCCCTCACCTGCCTGCAGTAGACTGGGAACAGAGTGACATCCCTCAATTACTACTAAAACAGAGTCCTTGGCAATCAGGACTCCAGAAAACTCAAGCCTCTCTCTTTTTGTAATCGTGTACCAGATTGTTTCTGCAAAAATCTTGTTCAAGACCAAGATTACTATGCATACATCATCTGAGTGTTAACACATACTTCTGAGCTTCCATACAACACACACAATTATTGCCTAACCACGGATAACCGTGAAGGTAGTAGGACAAGACAAAACGAAGAATGGACAAACTTTAAATCCCCATTCAAGTAAGTGATATTTTAAGTATTCTTTAAGGATTTCCAGTCAATACAGGACTTTAACAGGATCTAATAAGTTCCCATGCAGATTCTATACCCTCAGTGGATTTCATAATTAAATCACTGGGCAGGACTACAACAACAAGCGAAACACAATAGATACTCAAGACAACAAAATAATCCACTTACAATGGCACAAAAAATAAGAAATCAAGCCAATGACGAGGGCCAGACCAATTATCACTGACACAACGATGACAGCTATCTTCCATGGCTTCACATTCCTCCCTCCTGAGTCCATCTGAGTCAATATCTGCAATGGAAAAGAAAATATGTAAAAATTCAACTCTTAAAAACACAATAGCACATCCCGAGCAAAACTGTACCTGGCCCAGCTTAACTCAGCTCACTGACACAGACTCACAGAAACAGGTAGGTTGGAAAGGCCCCTGAATGCTAGGGGTCTGAACTTCTCAAACAAGCTCCCATTAGAGCAGGTTTCCACAAGCTTCATCAGGTTTTTAGTATCTCCAAGGACAGAGATCCCATAACCTCTCAGGATCCTGGTTCAGTCTGTGATCACCCTCCTCACAGCAAAAGCTTTTTTCCTTATATTCAGTAAGAATTTCCTGTGTCCCAACTTGCCTGTATTGATTACCTCACATCCATCTCTGAGAAAAGCCGGAAGTATAGTGCAGGTATCTCTAGTAGAGACTATTTCCCATCAAGAAATATTACACAGATTTCAAGTACAGTTGGCTGCCCAGACAGGCGCTTAAACTGAACTTGACTGTAATAATTCCTGGCTGACGTGGTAACTTCTGCTCTCTGAGATATAAGAGATGCCGTAAAACACAGTTTTGAGTTATTTTTCATTGTTATGAGTAGTAACACGTATTGGTCTCCTACCGGGTTTAGGTTTCTTCTCACCAAAAGCATGCATACATCGCAAGAGACAGTGTTGTGGCTCCTGCCAGACAATCTGACAGAGGAGAGAAAAACCTACGAACATGTCAATACATGGCAACAAGACCCAGTCTTAGTGACACAGTAAAAGCCAACAACAGACCTGAGAAAACGTTGGGAATCTGACTCACATGTGGATAAAGGAAGAATGAGCCTCTTCCTTCCATTTATTTCCTCTTGTGCCACCTTAGGCAAGAGAACACTAGGAAAACTGCATCTTCGCTCATGTTGCTGTATAATGATGCAAAGCCTTAACTGCCATTATTTCAGAACCCTAGTAATTCTACAGTGTGCTATGTACTCGTTGTCAAGCCATGCATTGGGTCTCTACATTGTGGTTGGCATTAGTATAAGTTGTTAGAAGAACATGTGGAATAATTCCTCAAAGTGACTGAGGTGAAACACAGCAATAGCAAGCTCTGAGGAGGCACTTAGCCTCCACTAAACCAGGTTTGCATTTGCATTGTGGGTCAGACACACTTGATGTTATACTCCCCTTTTCAGGCCTTTGGCATAGTCATTTCTGAACAACACCTGAGATCAAAGGAGGAGTAGCGCGCAGAGAGACAGATGGAGGGTTCACGTTTTCTCACCATGGAGTAACAAGGCAGCACAGTGAAAGCAAAAATGAGCCAGCAGAGCAGGATAACAGCAAAACCTGCCAGTAGCTTAAGATGTGCACTCAGAGGACAGACCAGAGTGAAGGGAAAGGCACAGTGCACAAACCTATGACAGCAAAGAATAGTGAAGTCAGGGGAGCATGAATGGAGTTCTACACTCCACCTTAAGGGTGAGAAAGTTGAGCAAAGCTATGAGGAAGGCAAGGCAGGAAACACAAATCAGGAAAAGAAAAAAATAAATGGTAAAGCCACAAAAGCAGCTGAGATGTCTGCACACAGAAGTGTTCAGCAAGAAGGGATAGTTGAAAACAACTCACACAGTAATCTCCTCTCCCAAAAGCTTGGTTTTAGCTAGTGAGTGTTGGTATGTATCCCACCCAAAAGCTTGGTTTTAGCTAGTGAGTGTTGGTATGTATCCCAGAGTGTTTCTTAGGAAGGGAAGCAGGAAAATTTTTATGCTCTCAAACAGGTATCGTTCACTGCTAAGTTTTGTTGCAAAAGTTTTCTGCAAATCTACCTGTCTTTCCACTAGACAGGCTTAGTTTTTGTTGGAAGGTCTGTGCAAAGCAGATTGCAGAGCATGAGAGCTGCCTCAAAGTCTGAGCTAATCAAGATTGCTTCCCATGGAATCTCCGAGTTGCAGTGGCACCTAGTATTCAGTCCTAAGAAAATAGTTTAAAGGAAGCACTTAATTTCTATATTCATACAGGTTGTTACTTTGTATATAGACATACAAACTAAAGCAGAAACACCTCTTCAAATCCCAGTTTCCTCTCTTTAGAAGGATGCTCTTATCACCACCTTGCTAAAGAAAGAACTGGGACAAGAAAAATCACTCGTGGAGTGAAAATGCCACATCCCACCACCTCCTCATGCTTACAGCTTCTACTATACATCCTTCAGCTGTGCTACTCAAGTGCAGGACCTAGATAAGCAAGCAGCATCTACCATCTCTGTTCACTTCAGCAGCAGACCTGCAGGTCACCAACTGTGCAAAGGCATTGGGAAGGAAAAACTCTCTGTTTAGAGCTTTATAAGAAATAATCTTTAGTCATCCATTCCAGGAATCAGACAGCAGAGAAAAGATGGCCTTATTTGTCCCAAAAGCAGTTATAATCTTTGAAGAAAAACTTGAGTACAGGCAGCACTAAGCATGTACTGCTTGCACTGGAGCAGCACAAGGCTGAGTATGATGTTAGGAAGAGCCAGCTCTTGTTCAGATTACGTCCACTCCGCACATTCAGTCAGTAATCAGATATTACACCACCAACTAGCTCCTTCACTCCTTTAGTCTTTTTGCTATAGTATCATGAAGTGCAGGATTCTCACACTTTACAAGAATAAGCATCTGGCAGGGATTCCTGTTCCTTGGACTGCTGTCTCTGTAGTTAAATAGTTCAGTGGCAGGTGGACCCCTATGTTCAGCAATCAAAATTCTGCATGATCTTCTCTAGGCTTCAGTCACCAAGAAAACTCTGCTCCACCCTGCTACGCACCCTTGGCTAAAGAAACAGTGACTCCTCTGTGGTGCCGAAGAATGCAGAGGCAGAGATGATCTGATCACCTTCACTTAACAGATGCATCTTTTCCTTATAACATACATCAATATATATTTTTATTATTATTTTACTGTCCAAACTACAGCAACCTGCCATTTCATTCTCAGGAGAGAATTCCAAGAGAATTCAGGAAACACCAATACACTTACCCTTCAGCACAGCAGCCACTTAAGTGAGAGCATGAAAATAACCTTACTTCCTCAAAAGTAATCCTTGAGAGATCTCCACTTGGAAGGCTGAATCCTCTCCCTGCTCTGAAAACTACCTCCTCACAGTCTATAACAGGAGGCTTTTGGTCTGTACTATACAGCAAAATGTATCAGAACAAAACTCTCAGGGGTACTATGAACTAATACCAGACCTCCTCTAGCAGTCAGTGCTCATTAAAAAACACTTCATTTCCAGGAAGACCACAATGATCCAGTGACTGTAGCATCTGAGAAGCTCTTGTCATGGCTCATTTAGGTCTGGAACGTGAACTATTATTCTCACACTTTACACATCTTTGTTCTGCACCAAAGAAAGCATTTTGATGACTAAAAAGTTATCACATATGGAAAAAAGCCATCCAAATGGACTTCAGAAATCACTTAGTTCTGTATAAACACAATAAAGGTGTGTTTATACATATATAAGCTCTGATTAAGATATTTTAAAAATAAGTAAAATGTAGCAAGAAAAAGCTATATTAATAGTTACTGACACATCATGAAACATTTGTACTGAAATTTTACTGGAGTACAACTTTGACCTTCCTTACAAAAATCAATGAGAGAATGGATAGCATTTCAAGTTGCCATCTCTTCTAGTTGAACTACTGTGTTTTACCTCAATAACATCAATTCCAAAAAACTGATCTATGTTAAATGGAAAACAGTTCAGACAAAGAAAGGAAGTCAAACTGCCACCTATGTCCTGAGAAAAGGGTCTAGGTACTGGGTAAGCAGGGAAGGTTGCCCTGCTATGTTTTAAGAATCTGCCCTTGATTTTTTTCTCATCTCTTAATCTAAGCCTTCATAGCACTTCTTACCTATATTTGCTTTCAAATGGATCTAACATATTTGATTTTTTTTTTAAGCAACATCTATTTATTCAAAGTTTTTTGCCAAGTTTGGCATAGAATAGGGTTATATGATTATAACCCTTCCATTTTGCCATCTGATCTGCTATTGTCTTCTTATAATACATTTAGTTCAATCCCTGCTCAATGATATTGCAGTACTCTCAGAAAATATGGTCTCCAAACATGCAGATGAGGGTCTCTCCATACTTAAGTTATGCCCAGTTTTCCATTCTAGGATTCAGGCACAGTCCCACAATCACTCCAATTACTCTTCATAGAAATGGGGTGTTTCACAAGACAACTGAACAAACTTACCTGCTGGCTCAGTTAGTGCAACATTAAACTATATCCCTGAAGCAACCTTCTTTGGCAGGATGATTGGGAATGGCAGCAACTAGAGTATGTCTGGTTAACCCCAGAAGACCAGTAGCAAAAGCACTGGCCACGCTAACAATGCTAATTTCACTCCCACCTCTGCCATAAGCAATCACATCAATCTAGTGCTTTTCTTCTACTTCTCCCCTTAACTGCCCAACTCTGCTAAGGTCTTGTTGCTTCTCAAGAACTCTCTATAGCTAGGCAAAGACAACAGCTTGTCTTTCAGCAAGATTCAAGAGCAGCAGTTAACCTCTGGCATAAAGTCTAAGACAATAAAAAAAAAAAATGCTGCTCATACAGTCTCCCCTGATTATTCAATCAACTTTGCAATTAGCACAAAACATTTTTGTTGTTTCTTTCTCTCATCCATTTTGTGTATAGTTTTTAGGAGATTGTAAGTTCTATAATTATTTGGATAAAGCCTGCCTACCATACCTGTACAACAAACAAATGTGGGACATAACTTGTACAACAAACAAATGTGGGACATAACAAGGCTAACAACTGAAATGAGCTTTATTAATAACACATTTTTCTGTAATTGACTGTCACAGCCAACATCTTGGGAAAGATTCTCCTGTTCTGTAACAAGTTTTAGGATAATTAAAAAGGTACATCCTTAAGGACTTCACAGCCTGCATGAAGGTATGAGAGGTCACTATAGTGTAAGGGAAATTAAGTACTTGGCTACTGAACACAATCAGTTTACAATATGGTTCTGCAACTTCTACATCATTTTATACTTTGGCCATAGGCTACTACCTTATTCTATTAGTTCATCAGTTTCAGAATATAGCAGTAGGTCTCTGATTTTCAGCTTCTGGAAAGAACCCTGTCTGCCATTCTTCCCCTTTTCACATTACTCCGGTAGTGAAATACTAGACAAGTAGTTAAAGTATCCATGTTTTTTTCTGCCTGACTTTCATTCCAAGATAGGGTGGTGAAACAGTGTGGTACAAGATTTGGTTCACTTCCAAGAGGATTCTGCACATATTAACACTTCACTGACTGCAAAAAAGTCCACTAAAGTAAACAGAAACACAAGAAGCTACTTTTACGACTTCAACCTACTTACCATCTCATACCATGCTGTCAGAAATTGGGACTTCAACACATTAACTGCAGCAGCAAGAAGTGTAGATCAGAGTTACAGCGTAGTGAGAGAATTCTCACTTGCCCCCCACAACCCCCTGTGGCCATGGACCACCTTGCCTTACCACTGATAGAGGAGCCAAGGAGTTCTTGGAAAACAAATGCTTTTTGGGTGAGGAGAAAGGGAGAAGTATAAGGATTACTGATGCGTAGAAGGGAGCCCAAATCAGAAATTAGCTCAGAACTAGAGCCATTCATTCTCCAACCCCCACCTTGGTCAAAGCCAGAAACTGCCCAAAAAATCCATATGCTATATAGCCATGCTGCACAAAACTACCAAGTAGCAAGTCAGATGGCTGTAGCACTCACCTTTGAGTACCAGTGAGGTCAGGAAGAGGGTCTTTTGTCTGAGAGATGTACCGTCCTGAACTCCACAACACACTGCGCAGCATCTCAGCATAGACTTGAGGCTTTATCGCTTGAATTAGGAAAGAAAGGAGTCATAGGCAAGTCAGAACAAACAAGTCCAGCAAGTCTCAGTGACAGAGGCTTACCCAGTAGCATGATTCCTCCCCTAAAACAATAACAGTACACTTCTTTCATCACACCTTTCATCCAGGAATCCCAAAGCCTTTTCAGAGCATTAACTACACGCCCTGCAACACCCCAAATCAGAAGAGACATGAGAATTTTGTGAGGATACGAAGCTTATTTCCTTCTTTGGTATAATTAAGAAAAACAAACATACAAACAGAAAATATAGTCAGGACCAGTATGAAAATGTTGCTTGTGTTAGAGAGACAGTGTTCAATCTGAGGTCAGATAAAGAGCTGATGTATATTGATGAAGGCTCAGTTGCATTTGCCCTAGCTGCCTTGAAAGGTACTATTTGGCCAGATAAGAACTTGAGTGCAGTTGTTGTTATGAGGACAAGTCTATGTTTCTTTCATAGCTTCTTAGATGTTGATTTTGATTGAGACCTCCCAGCCACATTCTGGAAAAAAAATCTTCTAGGTTACATGTGGTATTCGTGTCTGCATAGGCATTTCTACTTGTGCTAGTTAAGGCAAGTTAATTGAGAAGTCAATTACCACAAGCACAAACTAACCTAAGGTAGCATTTCTCAATCTTACTCAATTTTAACTTTACTGAATTCACTCAAAAACATATATGTCCACACAACCTTATGCACAGATTTGTTCCAGGAAGCCAATTTAGAGGACAGAACATCAGAATAAGAGGTCTGTGTATGTGGCAGATACTTTCTTTGCTTTGCTGTAACAGATTTTCTAACATCTAAGGATTCTTTCCCTGCTCCTGAATGGCCTTCACTTGACTCCTCTGTAGCTCAGAAATCACCAGCTAGGAAACATGCTGCTCCAAGTACTTCTTATGAGGCTGGAGCTTTTGCTTCTACCTTACACCAAGTCCACAGACAAATAACTGGAGTACTGCCCTCTCAGGAAGGTCAGCTTCTTTTGTACAAACCAAAGTCTAACAACAGGCTTTAGCTTCTCATAATTTAGATTCAGTCAGGGTATCTTTATAATTTATTATGAAATTCAGTAAGTACAGTTACTAATAATGCATCATGTTATTGTTTCTTAATACTTTAACCACAAGCTGCACTTCCATTCCACAATGGCAAACTTTTATTGAGTCAGTCTAGATATCCAAGAGAAGTGTAGACAAAAGGCTAGCTAGAGGGTGAGAATTTGAGGGTAAAGAATCAAATGTCATATGATTACCTGACCCAGGTGGTGTGAATATTTCTGGCACTCCCAAATACTCAGAGACAGAGCTCTTTCTGATGGCTATTATGGCACAGATGGAACGATGCATGACACGGAGATGTAACAGCAATCACTGAACACTCTAACCTGCAGGCAAAACAACCCACTGGAAAAGATTTTTTTCAGGTCTAGTTTAATGTCAAAAAAGAACCAAAACTGGTGAAGGATGTAACAACCCTGACTAATGGTCCTCTCTCTCCTATACGCTCTTCTACAGACAATACTTGTTTGTAGCAGAAACTCCAGCTAGAATAAAGGGACAGTAAAGTCCTGTGAAGTCCTCAGTACAGGAGGGATGTGAACCTGTTACAGCATGTCCAGAGGAAGTCCACAAAAACGATTCAATAGATAGAACACATACCCTATGAGGACAGGCAGAGAAGACTGGGGCTGTTCAGCCTGGAGAAGAGAAGGTTCTGGGGAGATCTGATAATGGCCTTCTAGTATCTAAAGGGAGGCTATAAGTAGGAAGGAGACAAATTCTTTGGCAGAGTCTGCCATGGCAGGACAAAGGGGAAATAGTTTCAAACTAAAGGAGGGGAAATTTAGATTTGATACAAAGAAAGAGGGTTTTTTTTTTTCTTTTTTTTTCTTTTTTTTCCAGTAAGGATGGTAAGGCACTGGGACAGGTTGCTCATAGAGGTGGTGGATGCCCCATCCCTAAAGACATTCAAGATCAGGCTGGACAGGGCTCTATGCAATCTGATCTAGCTACAGATGTCCCCATTCACTGGGGGGGAGTTGGACTATAACACCTTTAAATGTCCCTTCCAACTCAGATAAATAGCCACCATCACCCAGTACCTAACAGATTTAGCACATGATTGCAGAGAGATTGTACCTGTTGGTGTGAAGAGAAGCCTGAACAAACTGGGAAATGCTGAGGAATTAACAGAGATTGTGATCTGCATAGGTACTGCTACAAGTAAGGGCAGGAGAGAGAGTCTGCAGGCAGGATGTAGGATGCCAAGTGGAAAGTCAAAGACCAGAACACCCCTAACAGCCAGTAGGAAAGCAGTCTCAGAGCATGGTTAAAGCAACAGAATAAGAAAGAGAGGTGCAGAATCATCAGGGACTGGGGAAGCTTAGGGGGTAGACGGAGCCTAGCAAAGGATGATTAAGAAAACAACACCTGTACATCTTAACAGGAATAGCATACAAGCATTACAAATTGACTAGCAGAAAGCATTTTGATGCACAGAGGATACACTGCTCCGAACGCTATGGTACATACTGCATCTTCAAGTAAAGAATACATCATGTTGACAAAAAAAAAAGTAAAGAGAAGTTAAAAAAAGAATGTCCATTGTGAACAGGATGCAGAGACAGAAAGCCAAAGCAATGTTTCCCATGTTTAACAGAATTATCTGAGAAAACAGTGGTATCACAGGCCCAGAATACTTTACCTTAAACAAGGACATAAACAGATACATAGGTGGCCAAAAGGAAATGAGGTGGCAGGAGGACAAGGAAAATGCCAGAGAACAATCATTTCAGTTACTTTCAAATAAAATCTAAAATCCTTACTCTGAGCAGTCAGGTAATATTAGATTTCTGCACGCTAAGATGGGAAGCAATTTTATGCACCAGTCAGGTCTGAATCAAGAGTTGCTTTATAACATTTCTACCATGTACCTGAACAGTATCAGCATTTAAGTCAACACTTCTACAGTGACACCAAAGCCAGAAGACCAGCTACTGCCATGCTCAATTTTAAAGACAGCAACCATATATATACAGAAAAATCAACGCACCTAAAAGAAGAACCTAAAAAGAACTGCATGTTCTCTGGAGACACACAAACTATGTCAAGACATCACATTAGAATAAACACATCCTGCTTGTCAAATAAAAAAGCCTTCAGAAATCTCGAAGGCATACATAAGGAAAAAAACCTAACACCAGGGAACAAAAAAGCATATCCCAGAACAGGTGAAAAAATTAAAGAGTTATACATTTAGGCACATAAATTGCACAAACACAGCCAGGTAGTAGAGGCATGTCAGAAACAACTAGATGATTTGTCTTAGAAACAAATTATCAGTAGAAGAGAGTGCAGTGAAAAGCTAACAGCAAGAAGATAGCTTTTGAGAACAGGTAATATTCCACCTGGTAAAGGATGAACAAACTAGACTAGCTGACGGTATGCAGCCTCTCACTCATTACCACTTTACTGCCAGGTGACTGGGGAAAATTGGAAAAAAAATCCACAAAAAAAACCCCAAACACTTTTGACAGTGTAGTTAAGATCCACAAGAAGAGCTAAATTATTACAAGCAACTAAACAATAAAAATAACAAGTATTCCCATCAATATGTTATATGGGGTAGAACCATAATAGATTCTGTGGAGCCAAGTTCTGCTTTGAAAACATACATCAATTAGTGAGTAAGCCAGTGAATAAGACAGATCTGACTCAAAGTATCTTACAAAGGGCTTGTTAAAAGACCTAAGCTGCCATGAGCTACAAAGGCAACAGATACAAAAACAAGTTAAAATAGAGGAAAGAGACAAAAATGATAATGATTTTTGGTGAAGCCAAGTCACATTTCACAGGAATCTCTTCTATTTATTGTATTCATAAATAGTATGGAAAAAAGAAATAAGTCAAGTAATAATCACCTGCCAAGAAAACACAGACTACTTCATTCACAACAATCCTAAATTCATATTAGGACAGAAAACTTGTGAGAAGATACCTGCATTTACAAAGATTCCACTACTTTTGTTTGGACCCCAGTTCTCTCTTCAAGAAGTCAAGGTCCAACACTACAGCCTTCTCTAGCTTCACCACGGCCACAGACCATTCAAACCAGATCATCTTGCTCATGTCAGGTCTCCAAAGAAGGCAAATTCTGAACACGAGAACAAGAGTAACTCTCAATTACAGTAACTCCAGGAACAGAAGCTGGAAGAAACATTACACAAAGCTAGATTATTTAGTTTTTCTTAAAACATCTCTAAACAGAGACTCTATGACAGTAAAGCATATGTATTACTTAAACCTAATTCTGCTATTGAGGATTAAAATTCTTGAAGGAGTAAATATGCAGCTGACACCCAGAACAGGTTCACAGCTTCAGCCCTCATGTGGAGATACCTTCCATAGGCACCAAAGTTTCCTACGTGGTTCACAGAGAGCTGAATTTCCCAGAAGGGTCTCAGTACTCCACCTGTTTCGTAAGTGCTCTGGTATCCTTAGCATCACTTAAAAAAGATGAAACATCCCACAACTTTAATCTCAGTCTTTGCACAAAGGAGACAAGAAGAAAGCCATGACCAAAGCTAAATCCTGTATCAACCTTTGTAAAGGTATTCATTAGATATAACTCCTCTTAGCATTTTTTTGATTGGTCAGTAGTAATACCAGCAGGATTAGGCCACTCTGTTACAGTGGTACCAGCACAAGCTACTGGATATGCCCTGTTCAACAGTGAACAGTCTAAATAGCTTGTGTACAAGCTGCAGATTGCTTACAGCAGAGAATACTGAACAAGCAAACTGAACCAATGGGCTTTGAGAAATCCTCAGTTAGACCTGTAAATTGCTACCAACAAAACTCAACTCACAAATATTAAAAGCAAATGTGGGAGAGATCCAGAGACAGGGGCACATAAATTTTTATTTATTTAAGACTGATGACTCAACTTATTTTTTTCCACCCAAATCTTGTTTCACTTCCTGCTCTTTTAAAAACGAATTGTATAGATTCACCTAGGACTGAGTCAAGCTGCATTTACTTAATCTCTCACTTAAGGCATTTAAAAAAAAATTCCTCTGCATTATCACGAAGTAATTTTCTGGTCGGAGACTCCTTCTCCCTTGTCAATCTCTTCCCTAATTGAGAAACACACATTATCATGAACTGCCCCGACTTGCAGAAAGCTGAAGAATTGTCTTAAACACTAAGCCATTAACAAGATCTTGCTATACTAATGTGTCATCGTAATTGTCACAAGGGTTGTTGAAGCTTTTCCCCATCGCGTTTGCCATGATTGTTCCCATTTTCTTCTTTGAATAAGACTGAGACATATACATGCCTATTGCTATAGTGTTTGGCCTCTCCTTGGGAAAATCTTTAACAGCAGAAAAGCAAAAACAATCATCCTTGTAATGAGTTGTCCAGGTAGAAATTAGTGCAGAATTAGAAACAGATATGCAGGCATCAGTCTACAGCTGATTCAAGTCATCATCATTTTGTTAACGCCCACTAGCTGAAGATTGCTGCCCATAACTGTAAGAGGGCAACTGAGGTACATGAAGTGGTGCACGTGCTTGGAAGACTAAAACACAAGGTTTGTTAAAGGCAAAGTAACAAGTGTAGAAAAGGAGAGCAAAGGGATTAAGAAAAAAAAAAAAAAAAAAAAATCACTCCCTATAATTTGTTTCTGGATTTAAGTTCATCTGTAGTGAATAAAAAAGGACTTAAAAAGATATTGTTTTCTGTTTAACATAATTTTTCTACTAGAAGACAAATGTAATTAACTTATTCCTATTTGGAAAGGATGAAATCAAGAATGTGCATGTTATGACAAAGTACCTACGTGTTGCTGTGAGTCTGTATGAAAAAAGAGACTGAAAGAAATAGAAAGGTTCATGACCTTGAGCACAGCTCAGGTTTCTAAAAAAGGAAAGTAAAGGCGATGGTAGAGAATAGAGCAGATGAGAATCTAGAAATACGGTAAAGCAGATCTTGGAACATTTATTCATTATGTTTGCCATGAATAGCAAGAATTTAAATTCAGAAAATTGGAGAAAAATATAAGAAATTGGTGTCATTCCCACACTCAGTTTTAGTGTCCATCAGTGGATGCCAGGTAAATTTGAGGCTCAGAGCAACAAATAGAAGTATATCACTACTTGAACTGCTGGACATGCAATACAAGACCAGTGGACCCTGCATTCTCATGGATCCAGAACCCTTCCTGCCACACCAAGGGGAACGTCACAGTGCCACTGGTTGGATACCAGTTTCAGGAAATACAGAGCAAAGAGATCATGGGTCATTTTCTCGCTCTTTTCCATCCTGGAGAGAGCTGCACTAGACTGCCACTTGTAAGAACACAGGACTGCGTATAAATGCATGCACAGCTCAGTTCCATCTCTGGTACCTCACAGCTCATATATTCAGAGAGGACTTATTCTTAAAGACTAACGTGTCCCAGCAGTGAAGACAATCAACAACCATGCAAGATTTTTCTGGTAAGCCCGAGTCTCATCCCCTGCAGGAAACAGAGCAATGCACAGATCATGCTTAGGGTACTTTGTAACACTGACCGCTGTAAGACAGACTGCCCCCCAGAACAGGGCAAACTATCTTCCTATAAAAAGCAGTTTTTAATGCAAACTTTGAGTCACCGTGCTTCAGAATTTTTATTAGCCATAACAGCATTTTAAGAAGTTCTTATAAAATAGAAAGACCAGTGACACCCTGGTGCCAGTACTTTCACATATTTACACAAATAAAACACAAACATGGAATGCTTAGCTTAACAGAGCTGCAGTAAACGCATGGAAAATCTCTTTGTGCTGAGCAGGCAAGTGATCTCCGGATGTTCCACCCTTCCTGCTTGCTAAAACTGGGTAGGCCAGACTCTGATTTGGGTTGCTAAAAACATAAAAAGGCTGGCTTAGGGAACCAGGCTTACACCGCATTTGGGTGGGGAGACAGGATCAAACACTGCTGGTGACAGCTGAGTTTCTCAGGCTGTCTGCATAACTACAAACAGTTTGGGTACCTCCCTCATTTGTGGAGAAAAGACTTGGGTGGAAAGAGTCTCAATCTCTCTGAATCAGATCTACTAAGCACAGATACTGCCACGTGGCAGGAGCCTAATGACTCTGGTCAGTGCACTACAAGAGGAGAAGCTTGGCAGTGATAAACCAAATCTTGTATCACATTTAAGCAAAGATAAGTCAGCAAGATCATTTGAGTGTGTCTAGGAAAGTTTCGGGGCCTCAGTGAAACAGTACTCAGATATTTGCAAGGGATGCAGGGGCATCTGCTCTGAGCCAAGTGGGCATAAATCACCTCTCACTTGCTCACTCCAAGGGAGAAGAGCTAGACCCAGAGAACAGTTAAAGGCCTGCTGCAGGGTCTGCTGCTGCAGTCATTAATCTACATTCTCTCATGGGTCAGTAAGCAAAACCAGTATGCACAGAACATGGACGCTGAAAAAAAATAAATCAAAATTCAAATTGTTAAAAAAATCAAATAAATACAATAGTTTTCAAGGTAATGAAGTGTAAGATCAAATACTTGTTGGTTCAACAAGAACTCATAACAAATGCTCATTCACTGGAAAATGAGAAATGCTTAACCATCTCACAGACAATTCAGAAATGGCTTGAAGCCAGAACTGTGATTCAACCATAAAAAAATGGAAAGTGCAAACCTAGTAAATACTACAAATGATCTTCTGAAAGTCAAAGTGGTACATAATGCACAGCAATGGACTCACCTGGAACACAAAATTCTACTGCCACAGATGAACTACAGAATTACACCCAGATCAGAAAGAGGGCCGCCAAAAGAATTAAAGCAACGGAAAGCTATTCTTATGAGAGGAAGGATGAAGATTAACAACAAAAAAGGCAGGACAGATTGAAGTCCACTTTGACAAAAATTAGCAGCTCCTGCAGTGTTGTAAAAGTCTAAGCTACGCAGTGGAACAGCCATAAGAAGGCCAATGAGGTACCAGGATGCATTGAGGGAAAAAAATAAAAAAAAAAAAAAAAAAAAAGAGGGTGGCCAGCAGGTCAAGGGAAGTAATTAGTCTTCTCTACTCTGTCCTGGTGAGACCACATCTTCAGTACCATGTTCAGTGTTGGGCTTTCCAGTTCAAGAAATATAGGGGACTTCTAGAAAGAGGTCAGTGGAGGGCCACAGAGAGGACTGGGGCCTGGAGCATGACTCTTATAAATAAAGACAAGCTGAGACACCTGGGGCTGTTCAGCTTGGAGAAGGATGGGGGAAATCTTATCAAGGCCTATAAATACCTAAAAGGCAGATGGATGGGGCCAGGCTCTTTTCAGTGGTGCCCACTGACAGGACAAGGAGATCAGACATAAATGGGAACACGAGAAATTCTATCTGAATGTGATAAAAAAAAAAAAAAAAAAAAAAAAATCATAGCTTTGAGGGTTGCAGAGCATTGGAACAGGCTACCCTGCTGGAGTAGAGAGGTTGTGAAGTTTTCTTCTGTAGAGATATTCAGAACCCACTGGGACACTTCCTTGTGCAACCTACTGCAGGATACCTGCTGTAGCCAAGGGGCTGAACTAGATGATCTCCAAAAATCCCTCTACAACCCCTACTTCTGTAACCATTAAGTCCTATTTTGTGTGGCATTACTTACTTACTTGTGGAATTCAGAAAGATGCAAGTCTTCCATGGCCGGGAAAAAAACCCACTGGTATGAGAGTATTAGAAAGAAGAGAGTTTCTTACTGATTCACATGGATGACAGCTCATCTTTAGGCAGTCAGCTTCTAATTATATATACAAACTTCCAGCACATGGCTAGTAGCTTGAAGACACAGGGCAAAAAAAAAAAAAAAGTCACATCACACAAACTCATCTCAACTCATGCTGCAGTTTTAATTGCTGGGCCAGAGTATAGTCTCTGAGCTTCGATAGTCTAACCAGTACGATCTCAGAGACAAAAGCAGACACAAAGGATGGCTTTTTTACCTTCTGTTAATAGGGTGCCTCTCTCCAGATAGCTGGCTTCCCTGCAGGATGGCACACAGAACAAGTCAGTTTGGCTGCAACGCAGGCTCACATCCCACCTCACAGTCAACTGATCAACAGGAACATTTTAGACACAGCGCTACAGCCTCAATGCAAGGGATTTACCAGGGTCAGTACTCAGTTCCTTCAAAAGTATTTTTGAACACATTATAGAAGAGGCAAGTTGTAAGAACAAGTTTTACAAGACAGGTTCAAGCCATATGCATTTGCGACTTGCTAACAAATGAAAAATTTCTCCCTCCACATTGGATGATTCTTAGAAAAACTAAATGACAGTCAAAGCTTTAAAGTATTCAAACCAAAGTTCATCTAACAGGTGTTAGCCCTTGCAGAGTACAAGAGTGTAGAAATCCACATGATTTTTTATGCAAGAAGTCCATAGTCCATAGTCCACAGTCCACAGAAACACTTTGCAACAACCTTGACTGCCTCTTACAAGGATTTGGCTTGGCATGCACCAGACCTCATTCACTGTAGTCAGTGTTCTAGTCCATATGTTCAAAAACTTTCCCAGGACAAACCTTTGGGAAAGGTTTGGCAACCCTAAGCCTTTGCATTGGAATTTAAGAATATGTTAAAGATTTTCAGCCATCCACAACATTTTTACAGGAATCAGCAAGATGTGGCTTAGAGAGGGGAAAAAAAAAAGTCTTGAAATAAAATTAGCCACTAATTACAAGTATGGCTTCAAAGATGTCTTAGCTCAAATCATATCTGACACCAGCAAGATCAGTGCAAATCCTAATGTTCTTGAAAAGGCAAAATGGAATTTCCAACATCTCTAGCCAGGAAGGGAGGCAAAAACCCTTTGTTAGCCACTCTTAAAATACTGACATGATCATGGTAAAATTATCAGAAGTATACTCAAAAGCTTTTGCCTAGCATTTAAGTACACATTTCTATTTATCTGCTTGAACAATTCCAGTGGTCTTTGAAAGAAACAGCCAAGCCAGCCCTGTATCAAGTAACTTTGAAAGCCCCAGATTTGAACATGCCAGCTAATCTTTCAAAGACTGCTTATCTTTACCCCATACACTGACAAGTGTCACAAGGCAATCCTAAAAGAAACTGAGGCTAGGAAGAAAGAATGGCAAGTAGTCAACACACATTAGTGAGCTACCAGTTATGTACTACACTGTATTAGCTAGCCAAGTGCAGAATAATTTGAGCTTACTTCCAGTTGATTTGTAATCACATGTTAAGCAAATATAATTTTTGCTTTGACTGCATGCCTGCTTCTATCCCATCACAGCTCAACATGACTCAGTTGAACTGTACTGTATTGAGCAAAAAGGATCCAAAGGTGATCTCTTTTCCCAGCACACTCAATAATTCTTGCTGTAGCACCAGGGTGTGGCACCTTTGTAGCATTATCAGTATTTCACTCTCATCCCCTTTCTTTCTGTTGGAAAAAAAAAGTACACAAAAATCAGAAAGTAACCTAGGAAACATGTTAACCATGCACATTTTCCTACCCCTGCTCCCCTCCAGCACCTTTATCTTAATGGTCATCTCACCAATAGCCCCAAGACTAGTTTTCCTAAATTGTATGTAACTTCTCATAATTGATGCTGGAAAGAGGTGGAGCAGCTGTTGTAACAGCAAGAGGCCATCTGTCACTAGCCACAAGATTCGAGATAAAAACCAACGGGTAGAATTCTCCCACACAAACAACCAAAGCCTGACAAAAATCTACACTCTTCTAGTCTAAAACAATTTGTCTTGTCACTACATAACCTTATACAAGTCCTTCCCCAACTTTCTTGTAGGCCCCTTCAAGTCCTAGAATAAGGTTTTCTTTGAGCCTTCTCTTCTCCAGGCTGAAGAGCCCCAGATCATAGAATCATAGAATCACCAAGGTTGGAAAAGACCTAAAAGATCACCCAGTCCAACCGTTCACCTATTCCCAATAGCTCCCACTAAACCATGTCCCTCAACACAACATCCAGCCTTTCCTTGAACACCCCCAGGGTCGGTGACTTCACCACCTGTGGAGTCACACACAGATCCCTCAGCATGTCCTCAAAAGGGAGATGCTCCAGCCTTCTGATCATCTTCAAGGCCCTCCTCCAGACCTGCTCCAACAACTCCATGTCCTTCCTGTGCTGGGGGCTTCCAGGTGGGGTCTCCAACTGTAACAACTGCCAATAACATGGAAAACATTTGTTTGCAGAATGAAGACATTTATAGCACTTCAAGAGAAGTGCCGTTGCATTTTATTACAGTAGAGAACTTTTTTTTTTTGCTTTTTGTTTTCACAAAGCTTGGAGATTTAGTACATCAGGAAGTTCAAAGACACCCACCCTTGTCTTCAACTGTTGTTTCCTGACAAAGGAAATGATCATAGCCCTGCACTCAGCACTGGTGAGGCCACACCTCAAGGACCATGCTCAGTTTTGGGCTCTTCGCTACAAGAAAGACATTGAGGCCCTGGAGTGTGTCCAGAGAAGGTCAACAAAGCTTTTAAGAATCTGGAGCACAAGACATATGGTGAGCAGCTGAGGGAACTGGGCTTGTTCAGTCTGGAAGAGGCTCAGGGGAGACCTTATCACTCTCTACATCCTCCTGAAAGGAAACTAGAGCAATCTAACAGTCAATCACTTCTTCCAGGTAAGTAACAAGAGGTAATGGCCTCAAGTTGTGCCAGGGGAAGTTCAGGTTGGATATTTGGAGAATAAGTTTTTCCTAAAGAGTGGTGACACATTCATTGAAACATGCCGCCCAGGGGAGTCACTGTCCCTGAAAGAATTTAAGAAACATGGAGATATGGCACTGAGGGACATAATTAGTGGGCATGGTGGGGATGGATTGATTGTTGGACTAGATAATGTCCAAATTCTCTAGTGCTTAACCAGCCACGCAGTCTCCCTATTTCCTTCAAGAGCCACCCTTGTCTCACTCAAGAGTTACCATCAGTAATTCCTGCCACACCCTTATGAAGTAACCAAGGATGTCCATGACCATCTTTCGCACTGGTCTCCTGTAACAAGGAGACTTTCAGACAGTTTTGAAACACCAGTCAACTTTCGATTCCCTCTGGAAAAGAAAAAAAAAAAAGAAGCAACAACAACAGTGTTGGAAGCAGCCCCCAAATTATCCATATGAACGCTTCACCAAACATCAGACTGTGACTGTACAGATGCGCCACGTACTCACGGCATGCTGAACTTTCCTCTAAGCAGTTACTTCAGTCTAAACTAAACACAAGCCTAAAACACATTACATCAGCTCAAGCTGCCTAAGAGAAGTAGATACTTGCGGCACTTAATGTTAATAGCTCAGTTTATTTCTTCCAGCTCTCAGGCAGCTCTGACAGCCTCTACTAAGCTTAAGCTGGTCAGAGATCCTTCAGGATGCAGCTTAGCAAATTTAATGCTACATACATGTTGTGTTCCACACATCAGATTCTGTGAGATACATTAGAGTGAGCACACTGGATAAATTCCCAGCATCTCCCAGCAGTCTTAACTGTTAAATGAGTTAAATATCTAGAACAAAACACTAATTTGTTTCAAGTTCCCATGCTAGAGGACTAGAATGAGTTTATTCTTAACAAAAAACAGACTTCAGAAATAAAGGAGAAAGAACATGGGAAGGAAGGCTATTAAGACAATACCCTTCAAGAAGTTAGAGATGTATTCATGTACAGATGATAGATGACTCTGGTCTATCAAATGGAAACAACAAAGGCTCACGTGAAGTGCCAAAGAAATAAAATATATAATCAAGATAAAACAAATAATGCACCTTCTACCAGCATGTCAGAACAGAAAGCCAACTGGATCTATAAATAAGTCTACTGAAGTATTAACGGGAAATACAATCAGAACAAAAACTTAAGGAAGTTTTTCATGCCAGCTTGAAGGAGGTTTAATACTCTGGAACATTCATTACTGTCAGACAACATTCACACACAAAGAGAATTTCTTCAAAGGGGATCAACAGGGAGGAGAAAACACAAGCTTCCTCTCCTGAAGACTGAAGCTTGAGAAGGCAGCTAGGAGGAAAAATTGCCAGATTAAAACTTCAGCTACTTTTAGCATATAGCCAGTAAATCAAACAGAGACGATTAGACGTGGTAATAACACAGGAGCAGGAATGAGACAAGCATCAAAATTCCTGCCAGGGTTCTTGGCTAAATTCATAGAGGAAGGAGATGAAAAAAACTAAAGGCCTGGAAACCTCATGACTCCACCTACCAAGTTAGTAAGTGATCAAACATGCCTCCAAACAAACCAGGGACCATGGAGGCTGATAGTTTTAATCAGTTTGTATTATCTGTCAAGCATCCACAGAACGAGCTGGACCTTACTCTTCCATCTTTCTCAAGAAAAATAGAAGCAACTTCTCTCAGATTTTCATAAGATGGAGTGACATACATGCAGTTATCACACTGAGGAGAATTTGGGAGGAAAGCCGTACTCATTCTACTAGGATGGATCTAGACAAATCTATGGCATCTGGCTTTTCTCAAGACCACTGATGAGGCTGGTTTAGCCAATGGCAGCACATGCAGCTACATACTAGCTATGTCCAGAGTAGGGCTGGGATTCCCATCGGACATCAGTCAGAATATGGTCAGCTTGAGAAAAGTGGTAATTTTAAATGTGGTCAAAAATCTTACTCCTAGCATCATTCAGAAGAGCCAGTAATGACTAAAGGATTATTCCCATCATTTGTATTTTCAATTTGTACCCCAAAAAGAACAGAGAATACAAAAACTCACTGTAACACTCACTAGCTGTGTTGAAAAAGTGAAACCAAATTTCCTGTTTATGTACTTTAATCTTTTCTAGAGGGCAATTACAGAGCTGCAGTGTGACAGAAGCACTCTCTCTAGCTTTAAATGACAGAACTGCTTAGATAAACTTACTTCACACATATTCCTTTTTAGATAAAAGAGCATGCAAGAAAATCAGTCACAAAGATCCAGATAGCAAGCAACTGAATGTAGACATTTACAACACAAAATTGTAAAATGCTTTTATTTAAAATACAAAAAAAACCTCTCATTTTTATCCATGAATGATATAGATAATAAATATTAATTACAAAGTGGTTTAAGTTCCAGCATTTTGAAAGGTATAGAATTATGCCTATGCTAATTTTATTGAATTCAGAAGTAATGAGTTTACATTGGACTTTACTGTACTATACAGTTTCTACCACCCCACAGGATATGAAGACAACAAACAACTTTTCAGTGTTGAAGAAATAAGGCGGTTGACTATCCAGCTTTAAATAACAGGATAGTTCTGGGCTGACATCCTGGGCTAACAGGAGAGAATTTGCTTCAGGCTGCAATGACACTGCAGAAACTCTCATTTAAGATGTTTCAAATGGATCAGCAAGCAAAACATGAAAAAGAATCTCCCAAGGAATGACACAGTCCCCTACACAACAGAATTAGGTCACTGAAAGACAAGCTACCATGCAAGACAAATTTGGATCATACAACCATTCTGTTCTGCCCAGCTTGCACTCAAATGACCATTATGAGTTACAGAGAAGTGAAAAAACAAGCAACAAGTATATCCTTATAGTTTCTCCCACAGCACTACTTCAGAAGTGACTTGATCACTGAATAGCATGCATTTCTAGTATTTCCCTTTCAGTTTAGAACTAGAAGCAAGGTAGCAGATCTGTTTATGGCTCTGCACCATAATATCCTGCATGGCATGGATGAAAAAATAAAATCACAGAATAGTTTCTTATGGGCAGGAGACTTAGGCAACCATGCTTTTTCTGTAAGTATCTTCAATAGGTTGAGCCTACCACAAAACGTTAATGAAAGGGAGATGACATTTACATCCTTCCAAAAAGGCTGGAGTTTGAACTCAACTCTTCTAGATACCAGGGAATACTCACTCGTGAGTTCATCAACAGCATGTCCAACAGCCCAAACCAAAAGCCATCTACATGAAAATACACACTCAATGAGCCTGAGTCTCATTGTGCACAGATGATATTATGCACAAACAGCAAAAAAATGCCAACCTTGACTGCCTGTAAGCAGTGCTATCTATCTGACTACACAGAGAGCATGACCTAAGACAGGGATGGTAGGTGAGGTATTCCTTACCAGCTGCTAAAGCCTCTGATCCAAGAAAAAGTCCTTAACCTGTTAATCTACCAGTAACACCTAGCTTATAATTAGGACGAAAGCCAAGTCTGACTCTCCCATACAATAGCAGGACAGAAGACCATCACAGTACACCATTCCTTGCCAGCAGATTCTCAAGAAGCCAGCACCCCAGGCTAACTGAGGAAGCTGAGCACCAAGCCTGTGTGCTGTCTGCTGCCATCAGTGACAGGCTCCACTTGGAGAGATGGCTTCCCTAACTACATTTGCCTAGACATCCTGAGCTCTCCAGAAACTGACCAGGCTTTTAAACAACAACAAAGACAGTTTCTAATGAAATCTAAATTCACTTTTTCATCAGGAAAAAAAAAAAGTCTGTGCAAAGCAATGTATCAATACAACATATTTATTGACTGGTCTCTTCTAAGTGAGATCACCTCTCTTCCAGGTTTTAAGGTCATTCTAATGGGGTTCTGGATTACAGCAATCCTTTATAATCTCCTCCTAAGGAAGTTACACTTTCCATTGCTCTTTCTGTCATCAGCAGTCTGGCCATCTGCTGCCTAACTCCATAGCCTCTGTTCTCCACTGGCATGCTCTCAGGACTCTGGAATCTTTTGCTACTTGCAAGGGAAGTAGAGAGTATGATCCAAGCATTAGGTTTCATGATCTTCTACTGTTTCCCTCTCTTTTAGGGAAACCAAACTCAATGTTTCCTAGGTTATCTCAATAGCATCCAACCCTTACATGTACAATTCAGTGCCATCCAGTTGGGAGTTTTTAATTAACTGCTCAAATTAATGTAGCTAGTTGTGATATTATCCGCTTGGTAATGGAGGAACTGAAATCATTTTTATTATTATAAAAATAATACTTATTTTTATAAAACTTATTATTATTATAAAAATCATAATTTTTACAAACAATCCATTAGCAATGCTAGGTGACTCAGACATAGAATAAGACCCATGCTCTCTCTCACAAAAGGACAGCTGAAAACCAAGGAGTCACCAAAAGCTAGGAATACCTCTTGGGGAGGGACAGCCATCACCCAGCCTTCCAAGATGAGGTGACAACACCGATCAGCAAGCAACCCTGATCATTTTTGGCCACCTCAATGTCACACTCTTCATAAGACTCAAGACCATGATACAGCTACTTAAGCTGAACACAACTTGTTGTGGGCACATCTCAAAAATACAACCACTAGAAGCATAACAAGTGAAACTGACAGAAGTTGAACTGAGCAGCTTGGGCACTTATGAATTCTTTTGTGATGCTTTTGCCTTTAAGAAGAGCTTGACAAAAAAATATCATTTAAGTAAAGAAGCCTAAATATTGAAGTAATCTAACATTCTCAAGCAAATACCTTTCTCTCCCAGTTGATTTTTGCAGTTTTTGTTAAGATACACTGCCAAGATTTTATCTAATATACCCACATACAAAGAAGCTTTAATATTCAAGGAGGCCATAATTATCAAATACACATAATTAATATATCAACTTCAGTACTCAGAGGAAGAACCTAGAACTAACATGTTGTTACACGGTGCAAGTTTAAAAAGAACCTCAAAAACAGCAGTTAGTAGGCTATAAAATAAAATGAGGCAATTAAAACAATTTAATTCATTGGTGGTACTATTACCATAGAAGAGTACTTGGCTTGGTTGGGATGAGATTTATTTTCTTCATACAGCACCATGTTTTGGCTATGCTATCAAAACAGTACCCCATCAATATCAACAGTATTGATATAGCACTAATGTTTTAGATATTGCTGAGCTGCACTTGAACAGCATCAAGGCCTTCTGTGTCTCACTCTGCTCTTCCACTCCCTAAAACAGCAGGTAGGCTAAGGGTGGGCAAAAGGTTGGGAGGAATCACAGACAGGAGAGCAGACCCAAACCGATCAAAGGGACACTGCATGCCACACAATATGCTCTATGTAAAAGGCTATGGCTTTATTGAAATGTTTGTTCCCTACTTGTAGAAGGTAGTAAAGTGATAGCCTTTGTATTGTTTGCCTCATTTTCTCCTTTCCTTCATTTATATCGTCTCAATCCATGAGTTTTTCTTGCTTTTGCTCTCTCAGTTAATCTCTTCTGCTGCTGCAGGGAGAGTTTCATCACAACCCACAAGTTTTGCTCATTTCTCTTCCGATCCTCTCACTCATCCCACTGTGGATGGAGCGAGCAAGCACCTGGTGTGAGCTTGCTGCTGGACAGATTCATCTCCCCCCACAAGACAAATGTTACCCCTGACAAAGCAAGGTACTGGTGATCATACAAGTCAATTTAGAAATAAGTTTAAGAGTATTTATGGTATAGGAATAACTACAGTGAATTGAAAATTTCTTATAATAGGGATTTCAAACAAAACATAAAAAGCACTTAGCTCTACCACTACATCAAAATCCAGCTAGCTGAAAGCTTCCTAAGCTACCAGGACAAGTATAAAGCAAATAAACCCAGTGCAGCAAGCTTACAAATCTTTGCATCTGTTCAGACTTTCTGACATTAAGAACAGAAGGTCCTCAGAATTGTATTAATTGTTTCTAGAAAAATGCAAAGTACTCCTGAAGAAAGAAGCCAAAACTCAAAGTGCCACAAAAAAACCCCCAAACTCATGCAGGTCCCATAGCTCATATTGAGGTACCCAAGACCTACAGAAATATTCTAAAACAAGAAACATTAAATCCTGTCAGAAACAAGTAGACTAATGGAGCTTGTGTCCCAACGGTGCTAACAAATTCAAAGAATACACTGTAGATTACATTAGACCTACGTATGACTCATCTAAATAATTGCCTAGCAAGCTGTGCCTGAAAAAAAAAAAAAAAACACCAAAAAAAACACCTCAGCATTCAAGAATTTCTACACCCAGGTCAGAGAAGGTGAGCTGTATTTCACTGATTTACTTTGCTGCAGAGCTTGTCAGTGCCTTGCAAAGCCAAGGTGGCAACGAAAGAGCAAATGGGACATATTACAGTTCACAGTACAACTGGAATGAGTTGACAAAGCAGCTTAGTCCAACAAGAGAGGCTGAGAGAAAAAGACCAGCACTTTTTAAATTGCATCAACAGAGAGCTGTAAAAAGATGTTTGACTGGTGGGTGCTCCGAGAAAGCTACTGAAACAGATTTTTGGAACTTTCTTGGAATGAATCTCCATTGCCTGAATTTCATATCTTTCCTACTGCACTTCAGTACCACCTCCACAATACCTCCTTCTCTGGTATGAGCCTTGTTAGGGCCCAAGTAGTCCCATTAGGCTCTTCCCCCTGGGAGGTGTGCCCCCACCCTGAAAAATCAGTGCTTTTCAGCAAGGCTTCCCATAGGAAGCCTTGCCACACAACTGCCCACCATGATTTCCATCATCAGGACTCAGCCACTAAGTGGTAGCTCACACTGTCCAGTTCAGACTCTCTCAGCTGCACACCACATAAGGAGAGAAGATGATGACCATGGTACTCTGGTTCAACACGTTATTTAAAATATTAGTTTTAATATTCTAGAGGAATACATCTACAGGTTGATGCGTTGTCTCAAATAAGAGAGACCTTCTTAATACCAATTCATGGACAGTTTCCCAAGAATGATAAACAATTACTTGGTTTCACCTCTGCCAACACTATGTGAAGTGAGTTTCCATCAACATTTCAAACACAAATCTGCCAAATACTTTAATTCTGGTATCAAACCCAGAGATCAACATTTTCCTACCATCATTCTACCACTTCAGCTACTGAAGTGGAATGACTGTCTGGCAAGTTCAGCTTTATTTCTTTAACAGATATTGCAAGGTAAAACACTAAATATCAACTCTAAACATTCTAAAACTTGAAGGCAATGAAATACGCACCATCATGTTATTTAAGCACTTAAAATAGTCCAGCCTGTTCTTCCATGTTTTAATTGCTGATATTCTAGAGCTTCTATAAATAAACAATCAGGAGTAGTCAAATATAGCTGATCACACCTGTGGTGGGGAACTAATCAGATGACCCATCCTTTCAGCCCTAGTGTGTACAGCTCTACTATTCATCTACAAAACCCCATAGCTTCACTGCTAACTCAAGATATTAAGTATCCATTGAAGATTACACTGATAAGAGCTTGATAAGCAAACTTGCACAGAAGAAAAAGATACATCAGTTGAAACAGGACACAGAGCAAGTTTTCCAATTAAACATCAATATTTAATTGGCCCTCAAAACTGAAAAGTACTGTGGTTTAAAAAGAGGGTGTGACATGAGATAACAGCAGTGATTCACCTGGAAGACAAGGAATACAGAAGTAAGAGACGAGCTAAAACCTGCACTGCAATGAGAATACATGGCATCATAGCCTTAACAACTCCTCTCGTGCTGGAAGGAAAGGTTAAGAACAGGGCAATGTGGTTTTCATTGGAACAGATCATGGGAAAAACTATATCCATCACAGAACCCACCACAAATGGCCATTACCAGTTAATTTACTGATGACGCACGCTACAGCCATTCACAAACAAATACAGTAAGACAGTGTAAATCAGAACAGCTTTAATAATTTGAACTGACACATTTATTCTCACCAGAGCCAGACCACAGAGACTGCAGAGGTATGGAGGAACAATATTGGTAACAAAGGAATTTCCTGCCACTGTAGAATGTCTCAAATCTCAATTCAACTAACTTCTGTTACCCACATGCACAGAATGAGATACTGAAAGTTTATGTAACTGCTGTCTATCAGCTTTTTAAGTAGTGCCCTTCTTTCACCAACAGCACAGCACTTTGTTCCATTCTGCTGGGGCTCATGTTATGGTGGTCAAAAAATGAATGCATTATAACTTCTATGCCCAAATATATGCACAAAAACTTCTTACTTCCTGCCCTTCAATTTCTCTCAGATATTGTCTCTTGCAGTCCAGGGCAGAAGAGGAGGTGACATGGAAGAAAAGAGGCTACTGCCCCTGTGGAGAAGAAGGAAGACCTTTATGCACACACCTTGTTCAACACCTGAAGTTCCACTAAACAGATGGGAAACTGGGTTTCATTTTGATTAGGCCTGCCAGAGACCTACTTAATAGAAGAATCTCTACAACCTTGCCACACACAAACTTCATTTTCTAAATGTGACTTCTCAGCAACTTTATCACAATGAATATATGAAGCTTTAAATCAGACTTCCAACCCTGAACAGCTCTTCAGAGCCAGAAACATCAGCATGCAGAAGCCCTCACTGCATTCAGCTCCAACAGCAAGCGCTCAGCTTTCTGGAGAAGGTGACACTTAGTCTTCCACCTAATCAGCACACAGTGCTATCTTCCTTTAAAATCTAGTCTGAAAATCTGTCCAGAAAGGAGAACTCTATTTTTTTTTCCTTAGACAGGGCAGAAGAGTGGAAAATAAACTGGCACAAGACAATTAAGCTTGATATATCTTCTCCCCATTATATGTTATTGAAAGATATCTGTCATGTACAATTTTGAATTGTACTGCTGCCAATGGGTGTGAATACTTTTGTAGAGCACTTGGATACTATTTTTGCGACCAAAAAAAAATTCCTTGGTTACCACAAGGATGCCATTTATCTATTTCAGTCTAAGTTAAGGTAGGGCTATCTAACTAATGATAGGGTTATCACAGTACCATGAAGACATCTGGACTTGTCAAGCCTGTTCTTTAATCCTTTGTCTAAATGGGCTAGACAGTTTGTACCACACAAAATAATTGTTCATACTCTTACAGTAAGTTAACAATTGAGAAGAGAGCTGTACTTCTGTATTTCTCAGCAATTATAAACCATGGCAGACTGAGGGGAGCAAGAAGGGAGTACCAAAAAACACTCCTCACCTCTTTGGTGCAGCACAGTATATACACACTGGGCTCCTACTACAGAGCTTATAGGCAGTAAAAAAAGCTAACTGTAACATGATTCAGCAAGGAGCAAAAGGACATGTTTAATTTCAAGTATCTCATTAGGAACTCATGGCTTCCATAATACTTGTTCAAGATCTCTAATAGTTCCGTAAATACCCTGCTGAACTCAGGCCAATGCAAATGTATTTCTCAGATGTGATCATGACATCTCAGGGATGACCTTAAATGCAGTCTTACATCTTTCTCCTGCTCCTTGGGGAAACAGCAAAAGAAGCGTTAACTTACCACTTACAAATACCACCCACAACAAACCCTGCTATCTCCAGGTCTAGCTAGGTCGAGAAACACTTGCATACTAGTGATCTAGAGCGAGCCCTGGATTTTCTTTCCTCTGAGCATAATCACTATGGATCACATTCCAGCCACAAAGCAATTCAGAATGGTCTTGTATCAAAGTGCGCGCCAAACGTGACATGCTGCCACCTCCTGACTCAGTAGGAGATCGACCTAAAAGTTTGCAAAGACGTACCAGGTAACAGCTGGACTCAGTGCAGGATGCACTCAGCGCCGCTGAAACAGGACAGTCCTCTTCATGTCTATTCGGCTCCTCGAAAAGTCATCCTGAAAAACATAGTTTTCTTTCAGATCAGCGATTTGCATCAGGTCAGAAAAGACTCCATAAGAACCGAGGGCAGCACAGCAGAACAAAAGGAATGGAGAGATAAAAAGAAAGGGTCTCTCCACATCAGAAAAACATTGAATGTCCTCAGCTGTATGCAAGGTCTGATATTTCAAGTGGAAGTGCTCAAACAAGGGAAAACTGCAGCAAAGGCAATGAAATGGAGATTTTTCAAATATCAACAACAGAACAAAAACACAGAGGAGAATTACCAACACAATTAGCTTACACCTATGACTTGCATGTCATGGAAACTAATAATTCAATTCTCTAGTGGTACTGTCTTGCAACGAAGCACTTCCAAAAGCATTTGTTGGGTGAATTTATTTAGAAAGAAGTGAACCCTCCTTTAAAATCCAGTGCAAGAATCACTTTCACCACAACTGGCCTGAAAATTTCATTATCAGAGGGCAGATGTAAAAGGGAAAGAAGAGAATGGAAGAGGAGGTGAAGAAAACACACAGAACAAACAACAAACACACAAATATCAACAATAATTGGGAAAAGCAGACAGATATCTTGGGAGATAGGAAAACAACTTGGCTTCCAAGAACTCTTAATTTCTCTACTCCTTATAACTCCAGTACCATGCTGTCACCAACCCCTCTCCCTCCCCCCCCCCCCCCCCCCATCCCCAAAGTCTTTTATCATTAGCTTACTAATTAAATAAATTTTTGGAATAATATTTTCAGGGAGTTTCCTGTTTACACTGTAATAACACAACCAATAAACTCAGTTATTGGAAGTGCTTGGACTTGGCATACACTCAGTCCAGAGTACAGCAATTATAACCAGGAAGCAGGCTACTGTCAGTGCACTCAGGCCGAGGAACAAAAGGCACACAAACCACATTTCTGCAGTTCCTGCAGTCTACTTAAGGTTCAAACCAGAAATCAAACCAAATACGAACAACAATTCACTACCCATGCCAACAAGTATTTTCCAGCACTCTCTGAAGTTTTCTTTCAGAAAAACCACATCTTCCTTTCAATAGAAAACATATTCCATGGGCTGACACAGCCAAAATTATGTCAAGCATCACAAAGTAAACCTAGAAAGGATTTTTGGCATAACCAGATTAGAGTACGGTAGAGAAAAGTGGTTATAATCTACCCCTTATTCTGCAGGATTCTAGGTAAAGGACAAGGATTAACAGTCACACAATCTGAAAGTTTGTGAGCCTTTATGAGAATTACAGACATGGTGACATTATCCAAATGCACAGGCAGATCAGCAGAATACACGAATACCATAATTCAGCTACATGAATGGCTCTCTGCTGATCTGCATCACACCTGTACAAATGTGCCTTTTGAGAAGAGGAACAGCGTTAAATCTTGTCCTGCAATCTGGAAGAGAAATTCTGAATCAATGGATTTTTTTCATCTTAATCCAACTCAGATCAATTAACCTACCTTATAAAGGTGGTATTCCATCATATCAGTCCTGTACAGTGCCCCGATCACCTCACAAGCTGCCCAGTAAGGTAATCAAAGCACAGGCACTATTTTCACCTACATTACGCTAGGAAAGCATACACCAATCCTAAATATCTTTAAAAGACAACATGGCTTGATAGAGCACACTTGTTTCATACATAAGTGGAGATGTTTCAAGTTACACAAGCCACAACAAGCCTACAACCAAGTCATTTCCCAAAATCTACTTCTTGTACAGTCAGCAACAATCTCTGCTCAAGCCTCTCACAGACAGCAAAAGGCCTGCACACAAAAGCACACCCAGATCTCACATCTGAGCTAGAACTTAGATTATTCTCAGTCACCACTGACACTCCTCACAAGCAGCCCATCTTTAATGAACAATTTAAAGATACCCATCAACCATTACTTGCAAAAAGACAAGAACAGACTAATACAGAGGTTTTAGGAAGGCCATTTAAAGGGAGAACTTCCAGTCAGAGGGTCTCTCAATTCAGTTCTGAAGCACTCTCTGCAGACACTACGGGAATTCTACATTCCTTTTAGATCAGGTTTAGGCAATGCAATTAACTGTCCCTTAAACTAAAAGGCTGCGCACCAAATCTCTGGCACAGCAAGAGCTAAAAGGAATCCCACTACCAAGCTTAGAAGCCCTTTTTTCCTCCCATCTCCTTCTGGATTTGGTATATTGTAGCTGTGGATTTCCACATAGGTTACAAACTGTTTCACTGCATCAAGGAGCAGCTCTTACCATACAATTCTTGCACAGATGCCCATCAATAACAGAACTGCAAAACAGCTAAGGCTGGAAGGGATTTCTGGAGATAGTTAATCTTGCCCTCCCACGCGAAAGTGAGACTTAGAAGAAGTGATTTCAACCTCAAGTAAGGTTCTAGCTGCTGTCCTCATCAGTAGATTTTTACTTTTCCTAAACATACTACGTGAAGATACTAACTGTAATTTCACTTTGTGCCACACTATAGGGATGAAACCCAGCAAGAGGCTACACCTGGCTGTCAAGCATGGCCTTCTCCTAGGTTGCCTTAAAGCGTCTGCAAGATTCAAAGAGAAGTATACTGCCATGAACTGCAGCTCCTTCTGAATAACTGTCCTTCCAGTTAACTCACATCAATGGCATCACCTAGTGGAAGGCACACAGCTTGACAGGCTTTTTGATTGGTTCTCTCAAACTTCTTTCCAAAAATCTAACCTAAAGGAGGCAATAAATCGATATCACAAGGTAGCCACTGGTAAACAAAAAGGCAAGCATTGCTCAGGAATAACACAGGCTAAGTAAACCTGTTGTGTGCATTCCAGCTGCTGAATGGCACTCCAAAAGCTGCTTACCCAACTGAAGTGACAGGAACATATGCCTACCAAAATTGCTTTTCAGTCTATGATTGAAGAACCGAGGAGTTTAGTGTCAAAAAAACTTGGTAGGGTAAAATCCCGAATATATCAGGAAGCATAATTTCACAGAAAGGATAAAGACTCACAGATGAGTAAATGTCAAAACAGATCACCAAAGCAGCAACAGTCTTTACTCAGATAAGAAAGCCACTACAAAGTCAAAATGCATTTACCTTCCTATCTCCTGTAAGAATCACAGGAGTTAGCCCCCCCCCCCCCCTTCTTCACCTCATTCTAGTTTATAATAATTCACTGGAAAAGTATTACAGCTTTACAGTGATGTTTTCATCCTCCTTTTGGGCTTTGCTATGATACCTTCGAAACAAGTAGGATGATACTGACCAACAACACTGCACATTTTTTACTCTAATCTTCATCACTAGAACAGAAACAAGCTCCCTCACAACATTCTAGGTCAGCTAACCAAAGGATGTTGGGGCTGACCAGATGTTTGTTACCAAAGCCCCACTCTGTAAGGGCAAGCACACGCATCAGAAATCCCAAGCAAGGCATCCTGAAACTACACTGCTCTTGTAGGAGGAAGTCATGGCAGCAAGAAGACTGCTGCGTCCATCAGATGACACTAGCAAAAACCTACAGTCTGAGAATAAGAATTGCCAGTGTATAGCAGCTGTCACCACATAGCACAACCTTTCCCAAGGAGCAGAATAGTCTGGTAGAACTTCTGTAACAGGAACAAGATAGCTAATAAATACATAATCTAATAAAATACTCAGGTGCCTCCATCACCTCACAAGCTACCAAGAAAGTGAAATTCAGGCACTAACTGTTTTCACTCACTGGTTAGGAAAACACACACCAATCCTAAGTTTTTTTAAAAGACAGCATGGCTTGATAGAACATGTTTATTCTATACATAGAATCACAGAATGGCCTGGGTTGAAAAGGACTACAATGATAATCTGGTTTCAACATCCCTGCTATGTGCAGGGTTGCCAACCACCAGACCAGACGGCTCAGAGCCACATCCAGCCTGGCCTTGAATGCCTCCAGGGATAGGGTATCCACAACTTCCTTGGGCAACCTGTCCCAGTGTGTCATCACTTTCTGTGTGAAAAACTTACTCCTAATAACTAACCAGAACTTCCCCTGTCTCTTAAAACCATTAAGAAACCAAGCTTAAAACCATTCCCCCTTGTCCTATAACTACCCACTCTTGTAAACAGCCGCACCCCCTTCTGTTTATACGCTCCTTTCAAGTACTGAAAGATGATTATGAGGTCTCCCTGGAGCCATCTCTTCTCTAACCTAAACAAGCCCAGTTCCCTCAACCTTTCCTCATAGCAAAGGTGCTCCAGCCCTCTGATCATCTTAGCGGCCCTCCTCTGGACCTGCTCCAGGAGCTCTAAGCCCTATACTGGGGGTCTCAGGCCCAGATGCTGTACTCCAGATGGGGCCTCACAAAAGCTTGAGTAGAGGGGGACAATCACCTCTCTCCACCTACTGGCCAGCCCCTTTTTTAATGCAGCTCAGAACAGTTGGTCTTCGGGGCTGCAAGTACACACTGCTGGCTCACATCCAGCTTCCCATCCACCAGGACCCCCAAGGCCATCTCTGCAGGGCTGCTCTCAAGGAGATCTTCCCTCAGTTTGTATAAATACCTGCAACCGCCCCGACCCAAGTGCAATGCCTTGCATTTGGCCTTATTGAGCCTCATTAGATTTTTCATGGGCCTACTTCTCCAGCCTGTCCAGGTCCCTCTGGATGCTTTCCCTTCCTTTTAATGTATTGACTACACCGCTCAGTATCATAAACAGAGTTATTACAAAACAAGCTGAATGCTACTGTAAGAAAGAAAAACAGCCAGAAAACAACTAGCTCAGCTTGAGGAAAAAAAAAGAAAAAAAAAAAAATACAAAGCCACAGGCAGACTTCCCTCAGACCCACAAGGCATTTACACATCTGAGAAAAATCTGGGGAAGCCCAATTCCCAGCAGTAGAGAAAGCCACAACTGCTATATCCTACTAAGGAGCCACAAGAACTCCACCACTTCAGGCACCCACCACAGAAATGCAAAAACACCAGACACGGGCCTCCCCCAAAACTAAGAAAGCAAGGCCGTCTCTTCCACCTCTATACCTCTCTTCTACTCTTCTTTCCTTCTTTAGAGCTCGCTTGCTCTAAAGAAAAAACCACTAAAGCCACAAACGCAACTAAAGCAGAACAAACTACAGGCACCCATCCCGTCGAACTCCCCTAAAAACGTCAGGACTACGCATGCGCACACCGCCTTTCTCCCACAGCGCATGCGCAACCGAGCGCCGCTTTCTTCCCGCCCACCTGCGGCGGCCGCAGCTCAGTGCGTAAACAAAGCGGTGCATGCTGGGGGGCGGGAATTGTTACGCGCTGGGAGAAGGTGCCTCCATCTTAAGCGCTGAGCGCGTCGCGGTGGCGGCGGCAGCGGGATGGCGGCGGACAGCAGGGAGGAGAAAGGTACCCGGAGCTTCGGGTGGCGGCTGGGCGCTGGGTTTAGGGGAGCGGTTTGGGAGCTTGTCCGTTGCCTGAGCCATCCGCCCTTCGCGGGGCCTGCTCGGTTGGTGGCGTTGGGCCTTCGCCCTGGAAGCGTCCATGAGAAGAGCGGGGGGGCAGGAGGTGCTCGCTGGGGCCGGCTCGAGGATGTGGCACGGGCCCTCTGTGCGAGCAGGCACATTAGGGGGCAGGGAGGTGCTGGAGGTGACGGGGCCCAACTGGGGCGAGGTGACTCGGGGGGGGAGTGGGGCACAGGGCAGAGAGCTGAGCCTTGCTCACTGGGGTGGGCGCTTCCGGAGGCGTCCGGTTTGCTGCAGTTATACTGGGAACCACAGCCATATTTCTTTTCTGGGGGGTTTTCTGTCAAGGGCTACGGTCGTTTCAGTAAGCAGAAACTGACATTAGGTGCTTTTAATTGCATTCCTTTGATACTTTCCAATGGTTTTACTGCTTTATGGAGCTGCTGAAGGTTACTAAGCCCTGTGGGTAAATACACTTGAAATCAGTTTTTTTTCCAGGGCAATGTATATTCTGAACGTTTAAAACTTCCTGTGCGGAAGCTTAAGTGATCTGCACGGTGCATGAGATATTATCTGTTACATACATCATTCCTCACTAAATTGGCCTTAAAGAAGTTAAAGCATAATTCAGATGTAGGAGATTGCTGGCTGGTGGCTAGCGCAGATTATAGGCAGTTTTCTGAAAAAGGATCACACGTGGTGTGGGGTGGTTTGCATCATTTTGTATTTCTGTGGAATATACATTTCCCATAAACCTTCTTGCAGGCTGTCAAATGTCTTTGGCCATATCTCAGAATGGTGAAAGTTTGCTACATTTAACACTTACTGTGCAACCAGATCATGTTTAAAATTCCTACTAGATTTTGTTAGAGCTGACAACTAAAAGTATTTCTGATGTTTGATTCTTACCTTTATTATTTTAAAACTAGGGAGGTTAGATATAATTGACCGTTTTGAAACAGACGAGCTGTCATTGTACTAAAGCAGTGAAATTGAAGTATTTACTATTGACTTTCTAAATTTCAACTCCTATAACCATGTTTTCCAGCTAGGCTTGCCCTTTTTTGTTGTTAGGATGTTTTTTCTTTCTTTATTTTTTTAATCAGTGATAGTGATAAAATGATGAGTAACAGACAAGAAGCTTTTTTGTTTTGTGTTTTAATTTACTTTTCAGTTTTCTACCCTCAGAAAGGACTGATTCTAACTTAATAGTAAATATTAATGCACATTTGTTTGTAACTGAATTTGTTTCTGCTGTAAATGTGATATTATTTTTATACTCTTTTCAAGAGAGAAATGCTATTTCACTGCTTAGGGAAAGTGAAAATAAACATCACTGACCCTTTCAGTTTTAAATTGCCTGGTCTTATCCCCTCTGTTTGCCGATTCAGATTCTTGTTTGGACCCTTCCTTGAATAGATCTAACTCTTTTGGCCAGCAGAGGAAAAACACTCTCCCCAGGTTACTTTCCTGCTGTTTCAGGTGAGTTAAATTTGTTCATGGAGGGATCCAACACATCCCGGAGTCAACATAAGATGAGTTGCAGGAGAGCCCAGTTGGGAGTGTCTGTAGTGAAATGGACCCATGTGGACCTTCCCCCTTCAGCAGAGATGAACTGTAAGAAATCTGTCCCTCTATTGTTTTTCTGTTTCTTTTTTTGTGCTTTTCCTGATGCTTATCTTGATCTCTCTGAGATAATTTAGCTATCTGATTGAACGCTGACAGTGACAGTGGAGTGAGTGGAATCGTGTTATGAAAGGCATTTGGGCAGTATACCTGATGTAGGTGACGGGTAGGAGCTGTGTGGTCGCACTGCCCTTTTTGCGTCAGCAGGCTGCTAAATACATCTGGAAATTTCTTAGGAGTCAAATGCATCGCAGAAAGGGTGGGGAAACCTTTCCTTCTCTCCTTGGGGTACTTCTTCAGGGTTCTGACTATAAATCAAGCCTACCTAATCCTGAAAGCACTTATCGGAGAGTCTGCATCAGACTTGCTTAATCCCTTACATTTTTATTATTTTTTCACTTGTTTTGGAAGCAGCTGATAGGCAAATTTTTTAACACTTCTGCATGCAGCTTCAGTAGCTAGGTTAATTATCTTTTACACAAGTATGCTGTTGCCTCCCTAAAACAGAAATGAGGCTGAGTTTCAGTATTTGTGATCTGCGATGGGTGATACATTTAAGTCTAGTACACCTATTTTTCACTAGTCTCCAGTAATAAAATCATATGTTGTGAACTTGCCTGGTCTTTTGTGGGGAACGTGATGCAATCCAGGAAATTGCAAACCTTGTTTAGCAGTTGCACAGCTATCAGCCTGTCCCTTAAATTTCTGATCATTAATGGCAAGAATATTGTATGTGGATGTATACTATCTGCAAGCATAAAGGTCTGCTCCTGAGAGAATTATAATGTAACTTTGCATTACCTTTGAATGTCCTTTTCATGCTGCTGCTGAAAAACTTAACCTTCTCTGTGCACCACTTCCTTTGCATCATCAACAGCAGCTGTGCAGTTCAGTGACCACTTCTACGTTCCCTTGTCACAGAAGTGCTAGGAGGGAAGCTAGCATATGGTGATTCCGGTGTATATAGAAGAGAGGAGCTTATAAAAGTCAATTTCCTTTCTGGTGTGGGTTATCTTTTTTCTAATACTGAGCTGTAAAACTTATCTTGTGTTACAGCTCAAGGTTTTGGTGT